TACGTCACCACGTGAGATTTGTCGGAGCCACGGGCGCTAAACCATAGCCATTGTCAACCCAATCTAATCGAAGTCTGGTTCAGCTTTTGGACCCTCAGTCGCAACAGTGTTCTGCCTATCACCTATCAGCGGCGCAGCAGACGGCAGCATGAGCGAGGTGTCAAGTTTTTAATCTTCGACAAATTTTCTCTCGATCGAAGCAGATATCGTCAGCGTATCGTAGCGTGGCAAAAATCCCTCTGACATCTACACATCATAGTACCCACACGCGACAAGCAGAGGGCCTTCAAAATTGACAGGGTGTGCATATCGACATCGAATACGCCACTCCGACTTCGACTCCGAACTTCGTGCCGGCGCCATCCAAGGACGGAAAAGGGCAACAGTCAACTCGAAGCATCGGACGCACCATCCACATGCGAAATGCCTTCGCAAACGTATACATACACAACACTAGATCATTGACATCAAGCGACACGTTCATTGTGCGCGTCATCGAAGGCCTGAAAAGGACAACGTCCTACTCGAAGCACGCAGGCGTCAAACGCAACACTCACACCGGCAGCACCGCCGGCAATGTAGAGTATCGAACGAGTACGCCAGGTCATGATGCAGCGTTCTATACGCGACGTCATTGAACCCCGAAAAGGCCAACGCCCTACTCGATACGTCCTACGCGAGGTTTGACCCTCCAGACGGCATCTCCCGGCACCCCGATCGAGCCTTCCCAAGTTCTTCCGGAGCCGGGTCTGGGCTGTGTGGCGTAATCTTCCTAATTCGTCCAGTGGATAACGCAGGTCACAATTCACGCCACTCGCACTGCACCTGATGGTGGCGGACGGGTTCACGTAAAGCGCATTCCACCGAACAGATGATCAGCAAATATCGTGATATTAGATAGCACAGCGCAATAATTAGGGTATCTACAAATACACTTTGCATTGTATTCTTCCTTCTAGGTTTCTCGTAGATGTCGTGATCGTGATCACCATGCTCTCCAAAAGGTCAAGGTCAAAGACTCTGGCGTTTGAGCTGGTAGAGACACGGGACTCCTCGCCTGCGTCACAGGCGTCTCTGGAGTCTTCGGTCTTCCCGAAGTGGTGGTATGTGATGTGATCCGAGCCGCTGTCGTCCATGTAGACGGAGTGTCGGTGTCGATATGAATACAGATGATGTCATCCTGCTCTTCATCTTCTCTTCCCTCTCTCCTCTTCACCCCACCCACTTATGTAGCACCCGCCCTCCTTGCCAACATCCTCGCTCGCGCCCTCTCCATGCTCTCCCTAAGCTCAGGGCTCTCCCACCTCGAGGTGTCCTCCGTCGTCGTAGTAGTAGCTCCATACCCACCCACCGAAGCCGTTGAGTACGAAGCCGGGAACCCGGCAGAGGCGGAAGCGGAATACGGCAGCCCGCTCTCATACGACGTCCCTCGGGTATGTGTCCTCCGCGGGGTCTCGTATGACGAACTCGGTTGGAAGCCAGCTACGTATGGCGAAGCTGACAAGGACTGCCCTTGAGAGTACGAAACTGTTTGCGAGTACGAGCTCTCAGCGAACGCCGGCTTCCTTGGGGAAGAGGAAGCAGGCGCGATGCACCTTGGCCGATGACGGCGCACAGAGCCAGAGCGCGAGCGTGATTTGCGCTGCTCGCCCTCGTCTTCCTCCTCCCACTGCCCCGTGCCGTCGTCGACTTCGTCCTCTTTGGCGTCGGACATGACGACCACCTCGGCGTTGAGGGCACGGCGGCCTTGCTCGATGAGCATGGAGAGCTTGTCGCCGATCCAGTCCATCTATGGAAATTGTCATTAGCACAAAGGTCAACAACCGCATTGATGAAGAGTAAACGAACCTGGTTTTCGACAACATCCTCCTGGTCTGGCTTCCCAAAATCGAACTCCGGCCTTGCTGCCGACAATGTCGATGATGAGGGTAGAAAGCCAGCCTGTTGGGGTGCGGGAGACACGTGCCCATGTCGCTTAGATTTCCGCACGTACACCACAGGCCTCTTCGGTGCAGCAGTAGCAGGGCGTGTCTTCCTCACAGAACGAGGTGTAGGTGGAGTAACGTGCACAGCAGCCGGCTGCTCCACGCGCTGCCAGTCGGATTTGGAGGCGGAGGCTTCGTAGGGAGGGGGTGGGGTGAGGGCCTCATGCTCACCCGTTTGCTGGATGCGGTGTTGTTGTTGGTCCTTGCCACGATCTCGCCAGCTAAAAATAGTTGGCATGAGGGATGGTCGGATTAGGGGAGAGGGTGGAGTGCTTACAGGCGGTAGACAGTCAGGCCGACGGCGGTGCCGATGAGGGCTGCACTGACGGCGGTGGAGATGATGGAACCCGCGAGGCCACGGCGCTTCTTCATGGGCGGCATCTCTACGTGCACCAGGAGGAGGAGGCGGGTAGACATGGTGAGTATGCGTTGATAAAAATAGGAAAGTAAGGCGAAGGAGTGGCGGATCAGGAGCTTGTCGAAAGCGATGAACAAATAGCGCAGGTCAATGCGATGAGAACGATAATGCAAGGCAAATGGATGACCGAGCACTAGGCACGGTTGGGGGTGATAAGAAAGCAGAGGTAGCTGCCGAAGCAGGTGTAGTAGCAAGGCTGCTCTACGATACAAGTGGGTGTGATAGCGAGCGAGTAGATAGGACGTATAATGGAAGAGGAAAGGAATTAGGAATTGAAGAGGTTTATGTATCCTCCTGCGCGTGTGTTCCATCCTTCAGACACGTGCATCATGGAGCATCGGGCAAGGCTGCAGTACTGAGTTTCAGCTTTCACAAGCAGCACGCCGCGCAGTGCACACGAGGCAGTAGGTCTGAGGCCTGACCCAATGCCTGCATAATGACATAACGCGGCTATGCACTCATTCCTGCATCAGCACCTCCCTCAACCACCAAACTCCGAAATGAAAAGATAGGGAGGCGCAGAGATAACTGCAGGGACCAAAAACCAGATAGAAAATGGAAGTAAAGGGGTCAGAGACCGTCAAGAGATGGGCACGTCCCCTCCGGAGCTGGCCTGGAAGACCCAGATACGCCGCAAGACGATCGACGCGCGACCCTTGCCGATCAAGGCGCAGGAAGCAAGGAAGCAAAAGAACCCATAACCCAGAATCAAACTCACCTTCCTCGTCCTGCAGAGATCGTCCATCCACGGTGATGTCCTGGTACCCGCCCCCCGCCTCAAACCCCCCATTCTGAGCCGCAGCCATATCCCGATATTTGGCAGGGGTGTCGAGGTACCCACTAGTCGAAGTAAGTGTCGCAGTAGAGGCACTCGGTTCAGCAAATGTCGGTTCCCAACCGCGTTTTCTCGACAGCGGTGCGGGTGAGGGCGAGGGCGAAGGTCGGGGGCGGTTGATCTTGGGGAGGTTGGCGCGAGAGATTCGTCTCGTCCTTGCCGCCTCCGATGCGTTATACGCGACCTGGGAGGGTATGGGGTGATAAGGAGGCGCTTGAGAAGGAAAATTGGCAACGGAAGCTTGATTTGTCCGATTCTGCTGTTGACTTTGAGGCTCCGTTGACGTCGAGCTTGATGCGAATGGGTTGGGGAGTCCAGGAACGGTAAAGTTGAAGGTGAAGGGGAAAACCATTATCTGATCAGTGGAAAATATAAGAACGGAAAGAAGTGGGGCGTAAAAGGGCGTTAGAAAAGGGTTGAGAAGGAAAACACACGGAGGTGGCATGTTGCTGCAAGTTACCCAAATCGGGCGACAAGCATCACGGTCATGTGATCATAACGGTGAGTAACGTGAGCGTAGTTTCCTGAGATAGGGGTAAACCACTCAGCAACCACGGGAGACAAGGTGGATACATGTGTTGCACTATTCTTGTTGTCTGGGCGTTTACACTGAAATTCTTTGAGCTGGTCTCTTTTGCGGCACACCGCGATCAAACTGATAGGCTAGGAAAATACGCTCAATGTCCGCTTCAACTTTCCAGTTGCAAAGGCGTTACTTCGACCAGAATAAATTCAGTCAACTTCATGGGATAATATTCGAGGCTGCGGACTCTCCAATGAGGTCAATTTTGCATAGAAAATGGTGTAGGAGGTTTGGATGGAAGAGAATGATGTCATCTGCATCAAAGGAATTTTATGGTTATACCATGGTAGTCAGGAATATTTACTTGAAGCCTGAAGGTCCTGGGGCTGAAGAGTGGTTACGGCTGTCTGCTTGAAGGTCAACTACAAGGTGGAAGTTGCCATCCGAGACCAACACAGTGTGAATCGTTTTGGTAGGTGAGGTGATAGAGGTGCCTTGCAACCCACATTTAAAAAAAAGTAATATGAGTATCACAAAATATCAGTACTAGTTGCATCTAACAAGTCTACGTTGTATCCCCATTTCTATCATTCTTTTTCGGATGGTGGCAACTGGTATAACTTCGCCGATGGTATACCAAAGGCATCGTCCGTTCCGACCCCTCTACCTCCTCCACCCTCACCACTTTCGCAATAAACAGCTGAGAGACCACAGCACCCTTCCTCAGTAACGGCTCCCGAAGCCTTCCATTCCCTCTCCCACCCACAGCCAAATGTTCCAAGTCGTGCAGAGGAAGGCCGCGTCCGACGAGCCGACACGATAGTGCTCCGACACCGCCTTGAAGGACAGGAATACCCTCCTCTGACATCCTGTACTCAACACCTGCGGTGTCGAACGGCGAGGGGTGCAGATCCGGACGTGAAAACGCGACAGCCGTCGAAGATTGAGAAGAAGATAGCAAGTTCACGACCATGTGAGCTGGGAGGCTTGCGGGAAGGGTTGAGAGAGTCGCAGCCATTCGGGAAGGAAGTCGGAGAGAAAAAGTGATGAGCGGATATGGGTCCATGGCGATAGAAGAGAATGACGAGAGGGTCGCGCCGTGGAATTTGTGTTTTGGGCTCTCGGAACGTCCGTGTTGAGATGTCGAAGAATGCGAATGGTGATGGTGGTGAGGCATAAACGAGGTGACGACTGCCACTGGTTGAGCCATGTCCCTCAGCAGTACCTTCAGTTGGTCCTTCAAAGCGCAATGCTCCTCCTCCGATGCGAGAATCTCTGAACGCTTCTCCGTGTCTTCATATTCTGATTGCGTTTGGGGCCTTGTGTCCGTTCGCGCTGACGCCGCGCTAGAGACAAAGCGAGCTTGAAAGTTTGAATGATGAATACATGTTTGACATTGGAAACGGAGAGAGCTGGTGTTAAGACGAGTTGGGTGTCCCAGGTTCCGTGAAAGCGCCGTGATGGTTCTGGACATGGAAGGTGTGCTTGTTCGTGTTGTGCAGAGACTTCGCCGTTTTGTGTTATTGACCAAGCTGCAGGCCGTTTTACCTGCGTTTTACTTCCTCCACATAGTTCGTCCTCTCCTCATTATTCTTCATGAAGCAGCATGAAATGGGAAGAGGAGAAATTTGATATTAAGAAGCCCCTTCTTCAGCGACCACTCCCAATAAAAATTTCTGCTTCAGCAGGTTCGGTTGCTCAGACGGTTCTGCCGAATCCCAACATCCTTCACCTGACGTTTCGTCAGTTCTTCTTCGACCTACCAGTCGAAGAGCCACTTTTTCCTGCTGATCGAAGCGAATATCTCGCAGACAAAAATCATCTCCTGTGTGCAAGGCATTTTCAGAGCCCGCATTGGACCTGTTGTGGAGACAAATGGACACACTTCTCCCATTATTCAGGATATTTACGAACTTCACCACGTCAAATGGCATCCACGTATGTAGTAAAACCCTTTCTCCTGCCTTCAAGAAGCTCACAGCCAACCTTTCAGACTTTCAATGGCCCGTTTTCAGCTGACTCCGTCCAAAGGTTTCGTCAGTACGCATGTCGAATCAAAATTCTTACTCTCAATGATTCAAGCCTAGGGGGTGGGGATTTGGCTCCTCATAGTTACGTCCATCTGTGCAGAACCATAGCATTGTCCACGATATTGCCTGCCCTTCATACCCTTTCCATTTCCTCGGAAAACTTCAACCCCACAGCCCTCTTACTTCTCATCCGACCAATGGGTCTCCTGAATCTGATATCACATAGGCTTCACGACCGCGCAGACGGTCAATTTAGCCTGTTCCTCGCTTCTCTCTCTCTCGACTCGCCCACCGTACGCAAGATCTGCCTTGGCGGTGCAGTCGGTTCACAGACACTCGATAGACTTGGAAGCTTCCTCCACTTACAACACCTCGACCTGACCATGGCGAGCTCAAGCGACACAGAGCATCTTACGGAGCGTCTTGCCTCTATTCGCGCCTTGTCCTGTCTTTCTGTCACCATGGAACCTGGTGTACATGTCCCAGTGAAGTCGGGCGGGAAGAGAGGTCGCTTCCGTGCATTGAGGTCGCTCGACGTGGTCGGAGATGCGGTCGAAGTGTATGCCCTTGCAACGTTATGCCAGATTCCCATGTTAGAGACTCTCTTCGCGTGGCATTGCCCTAATCTGTCAGTCCTTAGCATTTGTGTCCATCTAGGCGCAGACAATGTCCATTCCTTAGAGGAGGAGATGCAGGAACTCCCGCCTGCGAACCATCAGCTGAAGAAATTGCGGCTTTGCAAATGGAGTTATGACGAAAAGTTGGAGGGCATGCTCAGCCTAGGCGTCATCGTTGCTCGCTACGTTGACTATCTATTTCCCTTCCTGCAGAGCCTCAGGTCTTACGACGGTAGTGACCGAGAGTGGTGGAAAGGCATTAGTGATATTATAGCGTCATACCGCGAGATCCGCTCCTGCCAATGCCTTACAAACGGGAGGTGACAAAGTTCTGTGAAGAGGTTTGTGTTGGTAGCTTGGACGGCGGAAGTTGTGTAAGTCGCACCCCTCAAAGTTTCTGCACTTTCTTCATATGAAATGTCAACTCTTTCACCCAAGCGAACTGATCGTTCTTATGAAACTCTTTCGTCGGAACTAGACGACGGTTCAAGTTGAATTTGAAGACATCGCGAAAACGCCACGAACATACCCCAATCCACTGCGGGCTCATCAACAAGGCCCGGATGGGTGATCGTGATACCCTCCTTCGCGGGCTTGACAAAAAGAGACGAGCCGCACTTCCAACAGAAGCACCGGGTGATGACGTTCCCGCTCAGAGTGTTTCCATCCTTGTAGTTCGAAATGAGCTCCTGGCCTTCGGTTATTGTCACTTTCTATATGAGGACACAAATTCCAACCTCGCGCGGTGAGTTCCTTCCTACTCGATCTGAGTCGTTTGACTCACGAACACGGAAGACGCACAGAAGACTGGAACAGTGCATTCGTGACGAACGCCGACCCGCTGGCCTTCTTGCAGTTCTGGCAATGGCAGACGACGAAGTGGAAGGGATCGCCCTGCAGGGTGAACTTTACTCCGCTACACAGACAGCTCGCTTTGTAGGTCTTTAGGTTGCCGCCAGACATTCTTCTGCTTTGGAGGTTGAGATGTGTAGCTGTCACTGTGGCGGTGGATTGGCGTACGTAGCGTGTAGCTTGAAGACGAAGATGGGACATCCGAACGGGCTGGTTGGAAGAACTTTGTTGACACGGCTATTTGAAGGCACTGGAGCTCGCCGATTGCCGGTGTGGGTCACATGGCGCTTTGTTTAAAAAGGCTACTCGGAATGGGACGCCACACAACTAAGTACTTGCAGGCTACAATTCATGATATTGGATTACGCTCGTATTCCAAAAGAAAAGGTGTTTCGTCTTTCTCCGAAGCTCAGCCTGAATTTGTAATTTACACTATCTACCCCCAGATCTCCCGACGGATTTCCCTGAATCCCTCGAGAGTCTCCTGGATACCAACCCACCAGTCCTGGTCTCTATCCCAGGTACCCCGGCCAAAAACTTCCAGGAAGGGGAATAAATAATCAATGTAACGAGCAGTGATGACACCCAAACTGAACGTATTACCAACCAATTTCTCATCGTTCCACCTACCAATATGCAAAGTTTTCAGCGGGTGGCCAGGAACAAGGAGTTTTGGCATTTCCTCCTTCAACAACTTGATGTTTTCCGAGTTCATGTAGACACGCATATGCAGAGTCCTTAAGTTGGGGCAGTACCTCGCAATGAACTGGAGGCTTCGCAAGGTCAATGTCTTGCTGTCGGAACAATCGGGTATATCAAGGGTCTGGAGTGAGCTCCATGACCCACTTTCTGCCAGCTTCTGTACTTGCCCGTCGCTAAGCTTCGGATTGAGTCTTACGACGTGGATTTCTTGAACCTTAGAGAATACGGAGAGGTCAAAAACACTGGACGATAAGGCCGTTTTGTTGCCTATCTTGCTGCTCCCAGACAAGCGAAGGGTGTTCAGATGGGTCGTCCCACTGGTTAATGTACGAACAATTGTCTTGAGAACCTTGTCACGTATTGCCTGCTGAGAGACCGAGGTCCACGTAATATCGAGCGTCTCCAAACGAGGGAGGCGACAAGGTGCCGTCAAATTAGATAATTTCAGCGCGTCTCCGGTCATTGAGAAGGAGTCAAGTGCAGGAAACCAGAGGCACTTCTTGCTCGATTGTGCCGCAACATCAACACCTTCTCCAATGGTGACATAGAGGTGTGAGAGAGATGGTATTAGAGCGAGTTTCTCCATCAGGTCTTCTGTATGGGAGCCAGACTTCATCTCAAGGTCAACATATTGCAGTTGGGAAAGGTCAGCAAGGCCATAAACGATGCGCGAGCGAATGTCTCCTTCGAGGCTCATTCTTTGCAAATCGGGGGATCCTTGCGAAAGTGTCACAAGGAAAAGGCTGAACGAGTCTTCATTGCTAGCGTCCAATTTGAGCGATGACAAGTTGACGATATTTGTTGGCTGAATGAACAGCAGAGTATTGGTGAGTTCCGGGTTGCTAGCATGGATGGAGATGGAATGGAGCGCCGGCAATAGCGGCGATGACAGATCGATGCGGCCAAGGTAGAGAAGAGCATGGCTTGCGATTGCAGGACGTTGCGAATCTTCACAGAAATCAAGAATCTGGATACGACGCGCGTACTGATCAAACCGATCAATGGCTTCCTCGGACACACGGCCCTTAAACGTCTTTCAACACGGGTAAGTTCACGATTCAGAGCATGAAAGTAGATAGTTTCGCGCACGTAGAGGTCACTGAACAGGTCAAAGTTCGGGAAGATCTTGAACAGGGGCAACAAGCTCTCCATCCTCCTCCAGACAACATCTAATGCTGGCTCTGCGAACGCTCGACTGACAAGTGCAGCCCAAAGCAAGTGTTTCTTGTCCTCACGATATTTCGCTCTTTCAGCCTCGTTCTGTGGCTCCTCAATGAGAGGCTCAACGAGAAAATGGTCGAATATAATGCTGAGAATATCCTGGTTTTCGAGAACTTGTGAGCAACTTGGCTCGCGGGGCAGGGGTTCGGATCCATCTTGAATGATGGTCGCCTCTGAATCTTCCTTACAGACTACGGCTCCTGTGTCACTTGTGAGTGTTATGCATTCGGTGGACTCCTTATTTTCGCCAGAATCTTGGTTTGACATGAGTCGTTTGGGTGGAGCGTGGTGGGTGAAGTAGGGCTCGGACCGCCAAAAAGGACGGTTCGTCACGGTGTGACGCGGACGCCCCAAACGAGCGAGCCGCGTTGCCGACCCGTGGGGCTCAGCCCACGGCGGGCACGAGGTGGGCGCGAGACGGGCTGGTTCCCCGCTTAGCGTCCCATCACTCAAACCAAGGCCGCGTGGGCCTGATGTGGTGCACGAGCGCTGAGCGTGCGCGTCGCCGAGGGGAAATGAGGAAAGGAAGGGGAGAAGAATAAGGAAGGAATAGAATGTAAATAACTTACCTAAATTTTGATACCATATTGACAATGAAGGGGTGCATTGTGCTGTTCTTGAAATGGGGTGTGTTGGTGGGAGAGGAAGAGAGGAAAGCTAGGATGACTTGATGTGTATAGATATTGTGTCCTTGACACGCACGCGTTGCGTGCGCGTTGTAATTTACGTACGTTGATCCGAACTGGGAGCCTGAGCCAACGAGGTGAGCTGCCATGCCAGTGTGACACTTGCAGGGAAGCCGCTCGAAAAACCGTCTTTGATGAACTGGCCATCAATTTCCGAAGCCGTCATGGGCCACAAAAAGGACGGTTGGTCAAAAAAAGGACAGTCGAGGCACGTCTTTTCATCAAATTTTAACTATATCTGGACTGACAACCAACGGTTCATCAAATAAAAGACGGTCTCCAACCATCAAAAGACAGTTTCATTAGTCGGATCGTGCATTTATGTATTTACAGAGCGTTCTAAATAAAGCTATTGTGTATGTAATTCTAGGCCTCAAGCCCCCTCGGCTGCAGCACGAGCCGCTGTGCGTCGGGCCTTGCTGATGGCAATGCGCTCCTCCTTTGTCTTGTAGGAGTACATGCAAATAATGTTGCTTGCCTAATATTTATGCCACGGGTGTGATTAGCCTGAGTACCACATATGAAGACTGGGTATTGACATACCCAACGGAGGACCGCCTCATGGTCTTCTTGGCTTCCTGGTGCGTGTGTTGGCAGCGGCGGTGGGGTGCACGCTGCACGGACAGGAGGGGCTGGGGCTGGGGCGGGTCCCACTTTTTTTGCAGCGCCCTGACGGAAGGCAGGACCGTGCCGAGCGCCGAGCGCGTAGCCGCACAGGAACGCGACGACGAGCACGAGCGCGTAGGCGCCCGTGGCAGTGGAGACGCCCATGATAGGGGCCGATCATCCCAACAGGGACGTGTGCCAGCCGTTGTTGTGCAGGCCGTCGATGGCCCGTGAGACAGCCGGAGGGACTGCCGACCTAGGGAAAAAAAGAAGGGCATGTCACTGTGTCAGCCATCCCAGAGCGATAGACGGCGCGGGAGACGAAGGGCCCCGAGACAAACACGCGCAACGCGGGGTGACAGAGGGGAAGACAGTACCCCGGCCCGGAGACGCCGGTGGCTGTGCCGAACCGTCCACGAGCCGTGACGGACCAGATCACGTGTGTGATCGGACCGTCGTTCTGCCGAGAGAAGTGGAAGCACTCATAAACAATTGTCACATCTACGGAGATCTTGACCCGGTCCGGGGAGCCGTCGCCGTACGATCGCTTGAGCCGAGGCAAGCCCCTAACAAATTGTAATAACCCGTCTGACCTGATGAGTGCTCATATTGAGGACATTTCGATAGCTATACGGTAAATATTCTGATATCTGAGATATGGGAACACAATGCCTGTCGTAGATTACTTCAGTAAGAGCCTCTAAGAGGAAATCATTGATTGCATGAACTCGATTAATACCGTTATATAGCCCTCCGGGCAGGCCTGGACACGATGACATTGGAGTTTCATTGACAAGTAGAGGAACCTTTTCTGAGAAACCGTAAACGAAGTCTGGCGCCAACGCCTTAAATGTGCCCTCGCGCGTAGGCGCGATGTCACAGTTAGCGGCTTTTGACGCCTCGACGTTAATTCCGTCATTCTTTATGAAAACGAACAAGAGCCCCTCGATGCACCAGGCGTCAATGTAGTAAGTACCAACAGGTCGAGTCAGAACGAAGAGGGAAATTATTTCTCAGAGTACATTACTATATTAAGAAATCGGCCATAACCTAGAACCTGAACACCAGGGGTGTCCAGGCATACCCCGTAAAGTAAATACACAGCGTTCGGACCGAGTTGGGAGGGGGGCAACCGCAGTGCGACCTGCCGTGTGAACATCGTGGATCAGAAATGCGATGATCCCACTTTTCTGAGTACGGCTGTCCTCACAGGTTGCGGCCTAGCATCAGCAATTCCGGGGCATGCTATAGCTAGGTACGTAGCGCTATGCAGCATCGTAACGCCGTAATGCATCTTCTTTGGTACCAGCCTTCCTATGCTAATTATAGATTGCTATGCAGCCCACTCGGGGTGCTACGTAACAATCCGTAGCGGGTGCACAGGCAGTCTGTACACCCCCCCAGAGGCCTTGCAATGCCCTGTAGACAGCATACCCACGTAAACTAATCCTTCATAGCATGCTGCTTTCCACCATGCAGCCCATGCGGTGCTCGCAGAAGTTGCCTTTTTGGGCATTTTAACAGTTGGTATTTCTTTCCCCGGGGAATTGGCAACGTAAAAATACAATTAATTGGGCACTTATATATACAATTAATATTTACAATTGGCCACCCAAAAAGAGCAAAAGAATAAGCACGGCAGGGACTCCAAGGATGGACAAGATGCAGATGCGATACGGTTTCAGAATGTGGCTAGAAAATGAGAATAAACTGCGTCAATGGCAGGGTGTAGGCTGAATGGATGCGGTTGTTGGTATCGCGAGAATGGCATCGCAACATCTCAATCGACGTGGACCTTCATTTTGGCCCTCCTCCTCTCCGTAGCTGGATTGAGAAGCTTCCTGGAGTGAAGTGGTGAGCAAATTTGAGAGCACAGGACTAGAATAGCTTACATTCCATCCCAAGCCCAACAGCGGCGGCTATCATCCCACTTAGCCTTGTGGTATGGCTTGCCTTTGACCTCCTCTATAAGACCCAGGGAAGTTTCATAGATTTCCTTGTAACGAGCACCTTTGAAGGGGCGCTTCCAGAGGTAGCCCAGCTCATATTCTTCCAAGGCACTGTATATCTAGTAACGTTGCTTGAGCGAAAAAGTTGGGGGCGATCAAGATAATGACTCACGCAGGCCATGACGATGGCGATGGCATGCTCAGGTATGGAATCTTTGAAGTGGTCTTCAAAGGTTTTTGCAATTGAATCTTGGCCGTTTCCATAAAAGTGCTGGATGCAAAGTTCACGAATGCACGGATGTGCGATGTTGTTAAATTTTCCCTAGACATTGACGTTGCAGCAATGAGTCCTCTGGTTGGGATGCAAATTGCACTTTGATTGAATGCACCTGCTCATCCTTTCCATTCAGGAGATATGGGCTCTCCTCTCCAAGTAGCTCAGTGACATTTGCGGCAACCATAGCTTGCTGTTCGAGCTGATTTCCACCTGAGAAATCAGGGTCCAGTTCCTTCTTGTAGAATTGGGGTACAAGATGGCGAGCCAACGTCTTCATCTTGCCACGGTAAGTTGAGGCTTCCTTGAACACCTGGTAACAAATCCATCATCGCATTGTTTTGAAGAGCAGGGAAACAACAAACCACGATGTTTGTATTGCACGTTTGAATATCGTCTGTTCCAAAATCATCATCACCAATGGAAGATAGGAAGAACTCAAGCTGACTTACTTTTATCGAAGACGTAGCCCTCCTCAGCACTTTTGAATCATCCGCGTAAGGACATGGCCCGCTTCATGGAGGTGTTTGCTGCGCTCTGGGAATCCATTGTGCAGCATGACGTAGCCTCGAAATTCCTTCTTCACCTGTTCAATCATGTCCTTGAAAGTCCCATGATAGTATCCAAGGGTCGTCGGCTTGATTTCCCCATCAAAGCGAGAGTTACGAGGGGTGCGAATGTGGGGGTCTTCCTCCAAGCAGGATAGATCCTCCTCCTCCTCATCAGAGGATTCCTCATGCTCACCTTGAGTTAGGAATTCTTGGGCAATGTCCTGGACTCGCTGTTGGTGTTCAGCTGCAGCTTCGAGGCGTGCAGGTGGCGGTGCATGGTTTGGGCGGTTCTTCTTATGGTGTTGTTCCAAAATGTCCAAGTCCTGCACATGGATGTCAGAATTGTCGAGAGTCTGAATGTTGAGCAGATGCTACGTACCACCACATCATCAGGGGCTTCACTTTGCCTTTGTTGGATTGCAGCAAGAGCATTCCGCTCATCTTCGGATGGTGAGTTTTCATCAATATCTAATGGAACGATCAGAAGTGTATCACCCAGTGCAAAAAGAGATGGAAGAGATGCCTTCAACTTGCGGTCCATCCATGGCAACGTCTTGGCCTTGCTCTGCTATGTCATAAATGCCTCCAGGATAGTATTGCTCCTGGAAAGGATTTCTGTTGTCTTGAAGCACCGGTCGAGCAACAGCTCTATCGAAGTTGGCCCGGCGTGGGCTTCGACAATTGTAGTCTGAAGCTAGGGTTCATTGAGTAATTCAGTAATCGGTTTAGGATTTAAGCATTGAGAAACCTTGATAGAAGTCATCGACCTGCTGAGATCCTTCCTCATGCTCCATGTCTCCATCGCCACTGTCGCTGCCTTCTTCCTCGCCATCTGGTTCATAGGCCCTATCTTCATCATACTGAGCTTGATTTTGACGTCCTTTATTTCCTTGAGCTGGAGACCGAGGAGGTTGCATGTCATCTGGTAAAAAAAGACGCGGAGCTTTTGGTGTAACAGAGTTTTGACAATAATCTTAGGGCAGAAGTAAGCAGAAGTCAGAGGGAGGATAGAAGTGGATGACGTACTCCTTGCATTGTCCTGGTCCATCCTTTCATCCAGGTGATGAGCTTGTTGCAAGGATGTTGGTTGAACTGTTAGAAGAAAAAACAATCAGACTTTTTGAAATGAAAGCAATCTTCTGAGAGAATAGCTACGGTTTTTGTTCTCCTGAGGACGAACTGTGAAGGCGCCATAGGTTGGTGCAGCTTGGCGTGGCTGGAGTGCTGAATTGCTGGCTGACTTTTCCGTCGCATTTGTGAGCCCAGGTGAAGTATTTGCCAGGCGGCCATATGTGCGAACAACTGGAGGCTTCATAACTGCAAGGTCTGGGAGTAAATGTGGGCTAATGAGATTCAAAAGAAGGGCGCAGTACCTTGCCGGACTTGGGCATTGTTTGGACGGTTGGGACTGAGGTCTTGTGGGCGTGGATGAATGCCAGAGGGTGGCCGGCTCTGGATAGGCTTCGGAGCAGTCTTCTGCAGTGGAGGATCTGCTGGAATGATGCTCTTCAATGCATCCTGCTGAGGATCATTCAACTCAGCCAAGAGAATAAGGATATCACAAATGGGTGTACCTTCTTAGCACCTTTGCGGCGCTTTGCCACAGGTGGAGCCATAGGATTCTCTGGTATTCCCAGCATGGTGTCTTGGGGTTCCTCCAAAAAAGTACCAGCTTGCTTTCGATTAATCTTGTCTAAGTCATGGCCAATGACTTCTGAAAACTTCTCCATCTTGAGAATCCAAGTGCCACGATTTGAACGGGTGGGGCGTCCGTTGCCAGGATTTTCAGAATTGACATTTTCTACGCAGGCTGGGGGTGAGCCATCTCGTCACTTTGTTAGATGAAGGATGACATACCCTGATTTCCAGAGGCTGTCGGCATTCCTCCCTGCATTTCTGAAGCCTTTGCTGGCCCTGCTGATGGAAAAATTGGATAGTGGTGACGAGGAGGGAAAGCAGAAGAGATTTCACCCACAGTTGGTTTGTTTTAGAGGCGGTTTGGTCAGAGCACCCTCTTTTGGAAGGATGGAGGACTTTTGCAGTGGTTTCTTAGGTAGAGCATCTGATGCTTGAGGAGGGGGCATTGCGCGTCCAATGAAGAAAGTTGGAAATGAGCAGAGAGCAATTTCTGAGCAAGAGGATGTTAAAGTTGAGGGAAGAGAGGCGGCGAATGTTGGAATGCAAATCCACTATTTTATATCTCAACTGCAACTGTTACCAATTTGGGATGTTTGACTCGGAGGCGCCCTAGTTTCCTGCAGACAATCCCGATCAAGGCACTGTTGGCACTGAAGATGTAAATTCCATGGCATCGCATCGCCTTCAAATGGGGCAAAGGTTGAAGCAATGAGATGGATTGGCGGTCACGAACTTAAGGGTGAAATGTACAAGTGAGAGGTTGTAAGAGAAAAAGCCTCAATGTCCTTACTCTGCCCTCAGTCCAGAGTGACTGACAGACTGCCGTTCCCCTTTAATTTGATAGTGTGCAATGCTACGGATTATATTTGTTAGAGTTATGGAAGGAGGAACAAAATTTAAGAAGAGGCTTACCTCCTTCAACCAAAACAGTGGATGGAGGGCGATCAATGTGAGGGGCTGGCAGGGCTACTCCAGCTTTCGATGCCATGAACTGGATACATCCGATGTAAAGCTCAACTTCAAAAAGCTGAAGTTCAGCTTGCTTCAAATCAACAAAGGCCTGCTGAAGGCGTTGACGGCATTCCTCCTTGGTGGATCGACAGACGTTCTCAAGATCTTGGGCTTTCTTCAGCAGCTCATGGGCATGCGCTGCATTCAGGATTGAGGCTGGGCATTCCTGACCCACATAATACATGTGCATATCAGATGCTGTCTCTGAAAGCTGTTGTCAATGGCGCACCAATGTGTTAAGGAATTCCACAACTGTGATCGGCGGCCCGTCTGCCTTGTGAACAACGTAATTGCAGAGAGACTGCGATGCTTGATACATGGCACCTGTGGAATGGGATGCAATGTTGAAGAAGGGATGGATACTGGCCAATGCACCTCACTGTTGGGGCGGATGGTGTTGGAAGAGTAGCTGGAATAAGCACTTATTTCCTCAGCCTGTCTCCATCTGGGAAACTCCACTTGACATTGAACCTACTGATTTAAGAACTTAAGTTGAAACCGTTGATTTACAGACCTCTCACCTCGCTAGAATGGCTGACCAGAAACCAAAAGGCAAGAAACCGAAGATGTCCAGGCATCATGCAAGCCCCATGCAGACCGAAGCCCTTGAAGAGGCATATGCCGAAAACAATGCCCCAAACCCATTACAAATGATCGCGCTAAGTGAAACACTTGAACTGTGAGCGTTCACTCATGCATTGGGATTTGAGAGCAACTCACACATCCCATGCATTTTAGGGCTATTGACTGGCTCTACAGCTGGTTTTATCGCAGGAGAATGAAGGATGGTAAGGGTGAAAACCGACAGAAAAGAAGCCGAGGGAGAAAAAAACGCACTGCCAAATCAGACAAGGCGGAAGCATTGTTGCCCATTGCAGAAACACCAGCCCCCATCACAGATGCCTGCATAGCTGAGGGGAGCCGTGCTAGGAAGAGGAAAGGGAAGGCTAAGAAAAACGCAGCCCCTGCTGCTGAACCCACCCAAGTGCAAGGTCCCATGGGTCAAGGGAATGAGACCCCATCTCCAAGTCAACGTTTTTCGGACGCCCCATTCCATCCCAAGGCTTCACCCTCAGCCTGCCCTTCACCCTCAGCCCGCCCTTCCGCAGTAGCTGGAAATCGCCAAGACGCCGTCCCTTTCGCATTGGAACCTAGCTCCGTCTCCTATCCTTTAGCCCAGCCAACCAGCTCATCATCCCCTCCTGCTACAGAGACCCCTCCTTGTTCCAATCTGCCCATTTCTCCTGACTCTGAGACAAATGCAGCTGCTGGTCCTCAGTACGTCTTTGGATTTCTTTTGCAAAGGAATATGCTGATGTCATTGCGTTGACGCCATGCCAGGTTTCCCTTCACTTATGAGGGCAATCAAACGACCGTGAATGTCGCCTCAGCACATCATCTGCTATTCCTGACGACTGAACCACCCACGGTCCCTACGTTATTCAGCAATTTTTTCACCTATGAGGTACCGTTTGAAACCTTTGGGCACGGTCCCCCATATCTTTCCTCAAACACCCCTTTCTGTCCATCGGAGAATCTGCTGATGCATTACCTCGCACATGAGAGTGCGCCTCATAGCCTTGGAGAAGGATGGCTTGAAGGATGCTGTCCGACAGAAGGGATTCATTACTAAACCTGCTCTAGTTCATGTTTCTTTCTTGGATCTGCGCATGCAGGTGTTGGTCTTGCATGTTTTCTTGGACGTCTCTAGTATCTACAGAGGGTTGTAGCAAGCGGCAAAATTTGAATGTGTACAATGCCAGGTTGGCCAATGGAGGCGGTTCATCCGATGCAGCAAACCGCGTATCTACTGAGGGTAGGAGGCAATGGCAGCTCTGCGTCGAAGTGTTCTCAAGAACCTGCCTCTACGTATGTATAGGCCCCATACCGAGAAGGACCGACGTCAGAGAAGAAATGACTTGAGAAAGGATTCGCTGGAGGATGTGAAACTGACTTCCTGGCCCTCGCTGCTGGATTCTTCAAGCTCAGACCTTGTGCTGAAGAGGCCCAGGCCCATCTTCCAGCGAGTGGTTTTCTCCTGGCAAATCCTTTCGTACTCCTTTTTATTTGTTTCTTTGAGGGCTTCCTCAGTCATGAAGCCATTGTCCACATAGCGAAAGAGGCCACTGGGGAAGAATTGGGTGAACAATGCACGCATCTCACCAGGCTGAATGGGGATGTTTCCATGAACTATCGTCAAAGAAGGGAGGATCATAGTGGAGCAAGGGGGGAACTCGATGACGAGCTTAAGATCTGGAAGAGCCATGTGCCCACTGTGCTTCGGATTGAAGTGGCCCAGCACAGTGATGGCGCAAAGTCCGAATGGCAAATTCATGCTGTCGCGATGCTTCTGGGTCCATGCTTTTGGGCCGCAATTTACAGCCATGCAGGGGAATATGCTTTTTGGGAAGTTGGGCCGAAGATGCGGGGCAAATTTGCGAAGCTTGCTGAGGTGCTTCTCGCAATAGGCAAACAGCTTCGGAGCCCATATATTTAGAGCCGCTGAGATGAGAAGTCGTTCATCGTCGGCGTGATTGATGGGAGGGAGTTGGACTTACAGCTGGCAAAGGTTGCAATCCTCTCGAGGGACTTGTTGCTGCGCAGCGCCTCTGCATGGGCAGAGTGCTTGCTTGGTCGTCCGTTCTTTGGTTCGTGGAGGTTTACTGGGGCCTCAGTGCCCTTCCCATGGGTGTAGCCGACATTCAAGATGGGAAAGCGGCCACGGGTGTTCTTGAGGACTCCGCTTTGAAATTCGGGCGTCTGACCTAGCTCAAGAAAGAGCTGGTAGACCTCTTCGCATGCTTGGCGGTAGGAGGGATCATCGGGCTGCCCCACCAGTGCCCCGAAAGTCTTCCCATTTGCATCCTCAAAGGACCTTATTCCACTGGAGAATTGTCAGCTTAGGTTGCAGATCCACAGAGTGCATTTACTGACCACCCATCCCAAGCAATGAGTCGAAATCCGCCATCCAACAGCTCCTCAAGGCTTCCAATCTCATCCCCGGCACAGCGCTTGTAATTCGTGGCCCGATAGCCGCAAGAGGTGGCGGGCAACCTTTCAAGGTTCAAGTCGGTGGGTATGGGCTCGCTGGCTGCAAAAATGCGTGCTTTTGCTTCAGGGTGGATTTGATGACCTTCGGCAGCGATGATCCTGTTATGCTTCGCGTGACGGCGTCGGTGAGAGCGGCTGACATCAAGCTCAGGGTCCCTTTCACCCGCTTCATCTGCTTCCGCCTTGCACTCGTTGCTGCCTTTAACTCCAGGAGAGCCGCCAGTCTGCGCCATCTCGGATCCGCCCTCGACCTCGGTCGGCTCTTCCGGATCGCCGACGTCTGCGCCAACTTCGAATCCCCAGTGCTCACAAGCCACGGATTGCTGCAGCAACTCACCAAAGTCAAAATCTGGGGGGCTTTCAATGGGGGAGACGAACTTCTGCAGAAGTTGGTTAGAATTGGGTGAGCTGAACTGAATACGCATGGACCCACCGCAAGGCTTCGTAAAAAATACATAGACGCAGCGATTGATCTGTTGTGGGGATGAGAATCAGCTCGATGGGCAGTGAGGTTGAAGGCCAGAGGATGTCAAGGCGGCGGAAGCGGCACTCAGAGGTCGATGCAGCGGTCCCAGGTTTGAGTCCAGCCGCATGGTTTTCGCCAGAAGGATGGGGAAGCGGATGGAAGCATGCTCACCTTTGGCTAGGGGTTTGGGAAGTTGGCGGGCATGGCCTAGAAAGATACGACCGTAAGCAGCTGTAAAAATCCAAGGCAAGGCAGGGGATTTCGGGAAGAAGCGTATTCAATGCAGCACAGCGGTCCCAAGTTTGAGTCCAGCCGCGCTATTTTCGCGTGGAGAAGGGGGAATGGGAAAAAGGGTGCTTACCCGCTCTCTAAGAGGCGGCGGCTGATGCAGAGTACGACCTAGCAAAAGGAATGCGTCAGAAATGTTCAGGCCAGTAGAAAAGAGGAGGGGACGAGTCAGTCGAATTTCAAAGCCCGTGCGGCGGTCCCAGGTTTGAGTCCAGCCACACGATTTTCGTGAAGGAAAGGAAATAAAGGGTCCATGCGCGCTCACCTTTTCTTGAGTATTCGGGGCCGATTTTTTGCCCCACCCCCAGTGGGAGGCCTGGCGGTTGAGGGATTTGCTTTGGGGCCTTTGAGGTCTTTTGTGAAGAATTGCGATAAGTTGAAATTCGAAGTCCGCTGTGAGCTCGCTTACTGAACGGGCTTGATCGTAGGCGCATCTTGTCTTCTCTCTGCCGCCCTCTGTCGAATCCAGACCCTGCATACGCCCCTCCGCACACGAACCGCGTTTATTGCAGGACATCCCCAACAAACTTTGGCAGAAAGAACAGCGATTGGGCCTTCGGAACGGTGAGCACGCTCCCCGTCGGCTATCCAACTCGGTGTGACACGCCAGGTGGTAGAAACCCATCAGCTCACACCTATGGCTCTCAACGCAGCGTCTAACTCGCCCACCAGCGGTCTTGCCAGGGAAGATGGTTGATGAGCACCGCGAACGCCCCACAGACGATGCAAGAAACGACCGCGAGCACAACCCCATGAGGGAGGCAGACTTGAGGACGCGGCTTTGTGCCTCATTCCCTCACTCGCAACGCCTACCCACCACCGATCCAGTGCATCCAATGTCGCCAGCGCCGCTGTCAAGGCGTCACTAGACAAGGTCCGCAGAGGGGTAGCCCCTTGACTCGCAAAACCCTTTCATTTCCCCTGGCCATCTACGGCATACACCCCTTCCACGCCATTCCTCATACGTCCATGCCCCTTCTGCCTTACTGCTCCTTTCCTCTCACCTCTCCGCCACGAACCCCTCCCCCATCTCTCCTCGTCTGCCCTCTATTCCCTCGCTGCTCTGCGCCGAGAGAAACGCGTTGGGCACGGCGTACAGGCCAGCTCACCTTCAAGTCGTTCGGCGTCCGCTCTCCCCACATTTTCCAAGGCGGCACGCCTCGGCGAGGCGCCTCCTCGTACGCCTCCATCTTCAACCCTCTGCAGTCTCCTCGACGTCGGAAAGCAGGCCCTCCAAGACGGAGAAACCCGTCTTACCACTCAAGAACCCCAGCCCTTCGCCCTCCGCCTTTCCCTACCGCCTGCTGCAGCGTGTTAGGCAAGGCAGACCACCTCCACCTTCACAATCAACCCCACCAACCCCTAAGTCACGTTCGGAAAGGTGAGCTTGGCGCGATAAAGAGCCCACCAGAGAAACTCGCCGTCGTCTCCACATCGCGGTGCTGCTGTGGGTCACCACCGGTCGCTCATCCTACGTCTGCAAGGCACTCGGGCCTTCGTCTCTCGATCCGCGGCTCTCCATCTCCTCTCCTTGGCGTGAACCGCCCTTCAACCCATTCCCACCAACCGTTTGCACGAAAATGACAGCACCAGGGGCGAGATTCACGGCCGCGAAGAGGTGGAATTGCTGTGCAGTTGTATGTTGGATGGCCGTGGTGTAGGTCCTGGCGTCTTTGCGGGCTGGGGTTCATTCATTGGGGCGCTCAGGGTGGATGCACGGGGAAGAGCATTTCCCCGTCGAGGAGGGATGGAGACGGGTGCCGTCTTGTCTTGCAGAAAGGGCCAGCAAATGGCGAGACGCCATCCTGACCTGGAGCTGGACAAAATTCATCGAGAACATGATCAAGCAGGAGGCAGCACAAGGTCCATCTCGGTGGCGGTGGTTGTTGATGAACAAGTTGGACGACACGACACCAAACACAACGCAAATCTTCGCCCTCACCACTGCCTTCACTTCCTCGCCGTCGTATATTCTACATATTCCTTCTAAGCATGGGTGGGTCAGGCTCGTCTCTCGACCAAACTGCTAATGATGCCGACTTTTCGCAGGTATCTCGAAAGTATGTCCCGCCACTGAGCCGGAAAAGCATAAACTTAGCACTTCCGTTACATTTGGTGCATTTCTCCGCAATTAAGCATTGAGCCATCTTGCTGATGTTCCTGAATAGAGAGATATCCTTTGACGTCGCAACTCATCCAAGAGAACAAGGTTCCGGAATTCGGTATGTTCGTATGCACCCACTTCTCCAGAGCCCGCCTTTGACACTCTCTGCAGACAATCTATGCCAAGATTTCAATGGAATCGTCCACAATTGTCTGCTCCTAGCCTAATTTTACCCTCTCCCAAATGTCTGACCCAAGCATTAGGCTCTCATCCCAACGACGAGGATGCTCATTTCCGGCTTTCAGAGGAACAGATATTTACGTCTATCTTCGCTTATGTCGACCACTTATTCGGGAAGATGAAGCCCAAGAAGCTCTTTTCCATGCCGGCGGATGGTGTTGCTCCTCGCGCAAAGATAAATCGACAGCGGAGTCGACGTTTTAGGACGGCAAAGGAGGCCGGAGAGAGCCAGGAGAAAGCAGAGGCTAAGGGGGAGAAGCTGCCGGAAGAGAGGCTTTCGACAGCAATCGCATCACGCCGGCGTTGGCATTTCAGGGAACTCCACAAATCCCTCTGCATTCAAGATCAAGGGCTCCATGCAACTTTACAGCAGAGAGAGGGGGGTCAGCCAGCCTATCGAGGGACATGCTGCTTCGTTTGCGGAGATGAAGTTGGACGGACACCAGAAGCCAACAAAGCTCTTTACATCTGCCGTCTGGACAGCTACTGGTGCCAAGGTAAGTAGCTTGTTTAGTGTCCTCAGCAAATCATTGACCTGGTTTTGCAGCTGCATATAGTTGAAATTGATCATCAACAGCCTGACCCGCCATTTACGAAGAAAAACGTCGATGTCTACTTCCCTCCTGAAGCCGTCAACGATTTCCCTGTTGCGATGCAGGTGTCCAAGAAACACGGTATCGTCTTCCTTGTCACGAAATATGGTTTCATCCACCTCTACGACCTGGAATCTGGTGCTTGCGTGTATATGAACTGCATTTCTGGTGAGACAACCCTCATTACTGTGGAGCATGAGGCAACAAACGGAATCATCGGCGTCAACAAGAAGGGCCAAGTACTGGTATGAACGTTGACGAGCAAACTATCATACCTTACATCCTTACGACTCTTAACAACGCCGACCTAGCGTTCAAGCTTGCCAGCCGCGCCAATCTACCTGGTGCTGACGATCTTTATGTGAAGCAATAGCAACAACTTTTCCAGACAGGTCAATTTGGTGAGGCCGCCAAGGTTGTGGCCAACTCTCCACGAGTATGTGTTCCTACCAGTTTATATTTCTCCTGTTAACGTTATCTATTTCTTCTTAGGGTATTCTTCGTACAACCGCGGTCATCGAATCTTTCAAGCAGGCCTCCACTCCTCCCAGCAGGTTGTCACCTATTCTTCAGTACTTCGGCATCCTCCTGGAGAAGGGCGAACTCAACCATGCAGAATCTCTCGAACTTGCACACCCTGTCTTGCAACAAGGAAGGAAACAACTTTTGGAGAAGTGGTTGAAGGAGAACAAGGTAGGAAAAGGAGTTTTGATTTTTTTTTCTTGCAGGCTCTGACGACTTCTTAAGCTGACATGCAGCGAAGAACTTGGAGACATTGTCCACCTACACGACTGGCTCTTAGCGTCTATCTTCATGCCAATGTCCCTAACAAGGTCATCACCTGCTTTGCAGAGACCGGCCAAACTGACAAGATCGTGCTCTACTCGAAGAAGGTTGGCTACCAGCCTGATTATGTTGCACTCCTTCAGCACGTCATGCATACCAACCCAGAAAAGGGTGCCGAATTTGCTGCGCAGCTCGCCAACGATGAGAGCAGTCCTCTAGTTGACATTGAGCGGGTGGTTGACATTTTCATGTCCCAAAACATGATCCAACCTGCCACTTCTTTTTTGCTCGATGCTCTTAAGGACAACAAGCCTGAACAAGGTCATCTTCAAATGCGGCTCCTGGAACTCAACCTCGTTCATGCGCCTCAGGTGGCCGATGCCATCCTTGGCAATGAGACGCTCTCTCATTACAATCGTCCTTGTATTGCCAACCTGTGCAAGAAGGCTGGCTTGCTGCAACACATCAGTGCCCTTCACTTCTTTATTCACTCTATTGCTCATCCTCTGATAGGCACTGGAACGCTACGAAGACACCGCAAACAGCAAGTGTACTATTGTTCACTGCTGTTCTCCCACCAGAAGTAAGCCTCACCGTCGCATTCTTTCAGCACCGTCCTAATCTTCAGACTGTATAGTGGCTTGTACTTCAGCTGGTTGACAGCGGAACAGTCGATGATCTGCTTGCAAGAGATGTTGCACGTCAATATCTGCCAGAATCTCCAAAGCATGATCCAGATCACTACCAAATACTCAGACATTCTTGGCCCTGTAAAGCTTATTGAGATGTTCGAGAGCTTCAAGACCTTCGAGGGTCTGTACTGCTATCTTGGTTCCATCGTCAACCTTAGCGAGGATCCTGAGGTCCACTTCAAGTATATCCAGGCCGCCACTCGCACTGGCCAAATTCGAGAGGTCGAGCGTATCTGCAGAGAGAGCAACTTCTACAACCCCGAGAAGGTCAAGAACTTCCTCAAGGAGGCCAAACTTGCCGACCAACTCCCACCGATCATCGTCTGCAACCGCTTCGACTTCGTGCATGATCTTGTGCTCTACTTGCATCAGAACAGCTTGGTCAAGTTCATTGAAGTCTACGTACAACACGTCAACTCTATTCGTACTCCTCAAGTTGTTGGAGGCCTCTTGGATGTTGACTGTGATGAGAGCACTATCAAGGCCTTGCTGGGCTCTGTTACTGGCAACTTCCTGATCGATGAGCTCATGCATGAGGTGGAACAGCGCAACAGGTTGAAGTTGATCTCGCCTTGGCTTGAGGCTCGCGTTCAAGCTGGTTCGCAAGATCCTGCCGTGTTCAATGCTATGGCAAAGATCTACATTGACAGCAACAACAACCCCGAGCAATTCTTGAAGGAGAACAATGTAAGCACTCACTCTTTCGGTTTGAAGCATAACCCGACTGATATTATCGGCTATAGCTTTATGAACCCCTTGTTGTTGGAAAGTTCTGCGAGGCTCGCGATCCCTACCTCGCTTACATTGCCTACGCAAAGGGCCTTTGCGACGATGAGTTGATTGCGATCACCAACGACAACTCGACGTTTGAGCAACAAGCCCAGCACCTCATCAAGCACCGTCAACCTGATCTTTGGGCTCAAGTCCTTGTCCACGACAATATGCATCGTCGTGCCCTCATTGACCAGATCGTCGCGACTGCTCTGCCTGAGTGCACTGATCCTGATGATGTTTCCGTCACCGTCAAGTCGTTCTTGCAGGCCGATCTTCCAATCGAGTTGATTGAACTTCTAGAGAAGATCATCATCGAGCCTTCACCCTTCAGCGACAACAAGAATCTGCAGAACCTCCTGCTCCTTACTGTCATTCGTCCGGACAAGGGTAAAGTTGTCGGATACATCAACAAGCTGCAGAACTATGATGCCGCAGATATCACGAGGATTGCAACTGAGCACAGTCTGTATGAGGAGGCATTGACAATTTACAAGAAGCATGAGCAGCATGCCATGGCTATGGGTGTGCTTGTGGAGCGCATTGTGTCAATCGACCGTGGGTTGGAGTATGCGACCAAGGTCAACCTGCCTGAGGTTTGGAGCCAACTCGCCAAGGCACAACTCAACGGTCTTCACATCAAGGACTCCGTCAAGTCTTATATCAAGGCTCAAGATCCATCTAACTTTGTCGAGGTCATTGAGATCGCCAACCACGCTGGCAAGTACAATGAGCTTGTCCGCTACCTTCAGATGGCGTGCAAGACCCTCCGCGAACCCAAGATCGACGCTGAGTTGGCGTATGCGTATGCCAAGACGGATCGTCTGCACGATATGGAGGATTTCAACGACCAATGTAGTGGACATCCTAGAGGTTTGGGAGAAGTGTTTCGAGGATGAGCTTTACCAGGCTGCCAAGCTTCTGTTCACGAGCATCTCGAACTGGGCGAGGTTGGCTACGACTTTGATCTATCTTGGAGAGAACCAGGCGGCTGTCGAGAGTGCTCGCAAGGCAGGCAATACTCAGAGAGTAAAATTTCATCTGCATCCTACATACGGTACTTATTCTCCCATAGGATCTGAAAGCAGGTTCACACTGCATGCATTGAGAAGTCAGAGTTCCGACTGGTATGCGATCCTACTTTTTATGCTCTCTATTATTTCGCCTCTCAAACTTCATTCTAGGCCCAAATTTGCGGTCTCTGAGACCTTCCTAATCTTTCCTACCCAAAGTGCCTCGGCGTCGTGTCTGCTGACTTTACGAACAACCACGGAGGCGATCCCTCAATCAGGCATCTCCACTGAGTGATGATACTTGGCCCAGTGGACCCTACGACTGCGCCACAATGCGCATGCATCACGGCTGCATGGGCCTTGTGGTGAAGCTCCGTTTGCCAACCACCGTCGCAGTGGGCAGGAAAAAGAACAAGTCACCCAAAGGCTTCCCCACATCTTCCCAGAGTTGCACTCTTAGCGAGCAAGGATGCACGGTTTCAGGCGCAACCCAAGATAAGATTTGGATGCTGAAAGACAAAATCTTGGCCTCATACAGTAGATTAGCATAGCTGAAATTGAGACTAGTTCTGGGATGAATGCAATTTAGAGATCGTGATCAAACCCAAACAGGAAGGACTTGACGAACCTTCCTGCCTTTTGTTTCTTACCACCAATATGGACTACGACCCCGGCTTGAAGTTCCCATGTCCAAGATGTGGGAAGAAGATGAAATCTGCAGCCTCAGTGCAGAAACACATGAACCAGCCGACTTCTCGATGCCGGCTGCTCTATGAAGAAATCCTTCATTACCAACACCCACCTGATCAACCGACTTTTCAACCTCCAGAAAACACATGGAATCTGGACCTCCCACCAATCAGTGAACCCCCAAATTCAGATACTCCTCCAATGGAATCAATGGACCAAGATGACGATGCGATGAATGCAGAGCCGGCACCACACGTTGAGTCTATCTTTGCAAGGCCGCTGTCGAATGCTGCAGGTTTCTTTACCAAGAGCTATCCTCGTCCTCCACGCAAGTCACCAACATTCAAAGGGGGGGAAACATTTATGGAAGTCTTCAATGCAGATCAGCACGCAGATAAAAGGCAAGATAACCTGTACTACCCCTTTGCAGGGAAGGCTGAGTGGGAGCTGGCATCTTTTCTAATGCGATCCGGTCTGAGCATGGCTGCAATCGACAAATACTTGAAACTTGAGCTGGTAAGTTTTTGCTGCCTTGGGTGCACTGGACCCGCTGCTGATTTCCCTAGACCAAAGGAATCCGCCTTTCTTTCCAATCTGCTAAAGACTTGCGAAATCGAATAGAAATGCTCCCCTCTGGTCCCAAGTGGAAGTCCCATACCCTTGCCCCCAAACACCCAACAAAGAATCCCATTGTTCTCTACCACCGGGATCCTGTAGAATGCCTCCAATCCCTCTTGCGAAGCCCACTTGTGCAAGACCACCTCTCGTTCACTCCCTTCCGGCTTTTTGAGAGTTCAGCCAAATTAATGCGGGTTTACATGGAGTGGCTGTCAGGCAATGCAGCATGGTATATGCAGGTGCATAGAGGCATTTAAACATCAGTTGAAAAGATCCTCAACATTAACGAGTTGCAGGAAATGCTGCCTCCTGATGGAACTTTGTTAGGGACAATCCTATCTTCGGATAAAACCAACATCTCCATCATGACTGGTGGGTGGGTTGCCCATCCACTCCTCATCAGCCTGGCCAATTTATCTATGGAATTTCGGAATAAGGCTTCCAACCATGCCTTTCTTCTCCTTGCCCTAATCCCCATCCCTAAGTACCTGCACCGCAACCAAAAGATGCGCGGCGTACTGGAAAACCGCCTGTACCATGAATGTCTGGATATAACCACCGAACCATTGAAGATCGCGGCTCAAATAGGCATCATGTTATCAGACCCACTGGGATTTCAAAGGTGGTGCTTTACCCCACTTGCAGCGCATATTGTCGACACACCTGAATCCACCTGAATCGCCGGTGTTGGAGGCAAGACGTCGTCTGTCACGCTGGCAACATACAAGGAATTTGGAGATCCATTCTGACATCTTCCACATCTTGCATCGACTACTATTGAAACCTTGCAGTATCTTGAAAATGATTTGGGGTTGGATCCATGGGATCTTGATGGATACGAAAAGGAATCAACAAAGCACCGTCTCAATAGTGTGCATCGCCCCTTTTGGCGTGATTGGCCACTCTCGGAGCCCCCAATCTTTCTCACCAGCGAACTGTTGCACCACTGGCACAAGGAATTCTGGGATCATGATATGAAGTGGTGCATCCAGGCCCTTGGAGGGCATGAGATTGATTTCCGTTTCTCCATCCTTCACCCTCGCGTCGGTTTCTGACACGTCAAAGAGGGGGTATCAACCTTGAAGCAGGTTACTGGGCGGGAGCACTGGGATATTCAACGGTACATCGTTCCAGTTATTGCCGGTGCTGTCTCAGGCCCCTTCCTCATTGCCATACATGCTCTTATCGACTTCCAATACCTAGCACAGGCAACGGTCATCGATGACAGCGTCTGCGCTCAGATCAAAAATGCCTTGAGAACTTTTCATGATCACAAGCAAGCAATCCTTGATGCTGGTGCCCGATGTGGGAAGAACGGTCCAATAGAGAACTGGTACATTCCAAAGCTCGAGTTTATGCAGAGTGTGGTTTCCAACATCAGATATAACAGGGCCGCAATTCAATGGTCAGCTGATGTAACAGAGAATGCACACATACAAGTTGTAAAGGACCCCGCAAATTCTGGCAATAATCAAAAGTATGAGCCTCAAATCTGCTGGTACTTGGATCGGGTCGATAAATTGGACAATTTTGATCTTGCTACAGCAATTGCAGAGGCAGGCCTTGACTTCCGTGCGTTTTCCCTCAACACCAATGCAGGCAGTGATGGATGCGATTCTGAGGATGAGGGAGGCGACACATCATTGTTGGTGAATGCGACGGGGGAACTCATGTCTCTCATAGACCCAGTCAAGTCCAGTCAGCGTTCCAGGAAACAAACGGATTACTTCTACCGCGCTACCATGCTTGAACGTGGTCTTCTAAGCGATGCCTCTCACCCTCCTCGCACACACAGGAGTGTTGAGAACATCGTCTTCCACCTGCGCTGTGACCCTAGCTTTAAGAGGCTTCCTATCAATAAGGTGGCTCAACAATTTGGTCTCGCAGATCTACGGCCCGCAATCGCAGATTTTATCAACAGGTTGTCATCCAGTGCTCCGCAATTTCACATTCCAGCAGTTGGAGGGCGTCGCTTTGCTCAAAAAGACTGTCAGCTGCCATTCACACATGTTGAGGTTTGGGAGAAGGTTCGGCTTCAAACGACTGCATACCATGATCCACATCCCATTCTTCCACCCATAACTATCAATGCTGCCCCACTATCAGAAGCCTGGCCACATGGTAATTTTGACCAGGCCGTTTTCAATATGGATCTGTCCCAGAAATGGCCAAAGAGCGGTTTAGACGGTGTGTCCTTTTGCTAGTGGTTGCCTTGATTTCAATTTTAAAGATAATCGTCGAGACAAGGTCACTTAATAGCAGATGTTCGCCTTATCTTCCACATAGTCCCATCGACTCATTCCAACAAAATCCTCCAAGACAGTCTCCACCAGGCCATCACCGGTTGCTTTCTGGCCTACGTCCAGCGGTACGACATCATCTCCCACCTAAAGAATCCAAAGAACCCTGCTACTCGTGGCCCGCATCCTGAACCGACGTCAGGGCTTCACCTTCTCAAGCACGGCATGAGGATGAACGGCGAGCTTATTGGAGATGTTGTACCTCTGCATCAACTACGCGCACTTGTCGATGTTTCACCCCGCTTGGGTCAGAAGGCCGATAGGAAGTTTACCAAGCAGAACAGTCTTCACTACAGCACAGAGTTCTGGTTGAACAAATACTTCGATAAAGAGACCTTCTACGCCCTGCATTGACATTCATCTTTTCATACTTTCGCTACAGTGTACATAGATCAGATACATTGCAATCAGATACATTGATTGCTGCAGCTAATTCTGGAGGAGAAAATGGCAAATGTGCCAAGAAAAGGAAACACTCAAGGCATCATGCTTTCTCTCACTGAGGAAAGGAGCACCTCTGAGCTTGTCTGAGGCAGGAGCTGGCTTGAACCGGCCAAAAACACTGGGTTCCCCATCTCAGATGGCTATAAGTCAGTCAAGCCTCAGGTACTGAGCCTGTTGGCCATAAACAGGAAGCTAGCTACCAGCTGCTTTAGAGCTTGCTGCTGCTGGTGCAGGCTGCTACTGACACTCGGACTCATGCTATGTAGCACTATGTAGTCGTCTCCTGCTATTTTGGGACACTATGCAGCTATGCGGCGTTATGGGCGTCAAGGTGGTTGTTATGGCTGGCTATGGCCGAAAATCAGGAATTGCTGATGAGTGCAACGTGTCGAATTCGGGCGGATGCACAGCAGCCGTCCGAAAAGTCGATCCTTTCCTAATAACTGAGAGCTTAATTAAAACCATTTTACAATTTTACACTAGCGAGGTCATAATAGCGACATGCCTCCTGCCGCACATCCCATCTGTATGGCTCTGGTGGTCGATTGAAGGATGGGGAAAGTCCCGTGTTGTTTGCCTCACCTTCGAAAGCTAGTCGCAAGTCGAGACCAGCGTCGACGTACGGATTGACGTGCACCCCGAGCGGGATGGACTGACGTCGCGGAAGGAACATGTCCACAATCTCGAGCTTCGATAAGCCAGGAACAATTCCCATCCTGCTTTCCTCGAATAAGCTCCAATATCCCGCCATCTGTCAGCTCGCCAAACCCTCGTTCAGTCACGAACTGCAATTTCTTCATCTTTGGGCACAGAATCCTCCCAGAATCGTCAAGTGTGGTGAAGCAGCGGAAGAACTCATCATCCAACGCCCAGACAGGCTGCGACGTCGTCATGGGGCCATAGCTAACATCGATTTTTAGCGCTTCAAGATTGGGACAGAGATGAAGGGAGGCAAGAAAGTCGTCCTGCTCTGCTGGAAGAGGGTGTAGCTTGTTTCGAGAGTGTGAAGACGACCGAAGGAGGTTTCGAGCCAGAAGTGGAGAGGGGACGATCGAGTTAGCGATTGGGCGAAACAGTAACTGACTTCTTGGATAGCGGGAACATCCAGAGGGAGGCCTGCTGCAGGTGCGTCTCCAGTGACGTGGTGACCGGTACGGAGATGGATATGCTGCAAATGAGGCAAGGAGATAACGGGCATATCGCGTGGGCTGCTCGTGTGTAGCTCATCGTACTGATGAAATACACCCATATCGAACGAGAAGGAAATGAGACGCTTACAAGCTGTCAATATGTAGGCAATGTCGTCTACTGAATGTATCTTGCAAGCATAACCTTCTAATACAGAGATATGGGTTAACGTCGACCAGGAGATTGGCATGATGCGGATATTTCCGTATGATGCTCGGAAAGTAAGGCGTCGTAGGGCAGTCGATTTGAAAAGCTCGGGGTTGTCGAAGGGGACTTGCATATTTTCGTCCTCCTGCGAAGTGTTGGCAGCCACGGTCAGTGACTCCAAATTCGGAGCTTGTGATTGCGATATAGCCACGACTCGCTGGATCTGTGGAACCGTGGCAAAGATTGCCAAATGTTTCCAACGCTTCGAAAGAGAGAGGATCGCAGACAATAACCGGTCATAATAGGCTTGTCCGTCTGAGTTATAGCTCAGCTCGTTCCTCAGAGTAATCGCAAGGGGACACTGCTGGGCCCTCTGACCCCAGTCTTGGATTGCCTTGACGCGTGCGACGGTGACGGTTAAAGCAGCATCCTCGGGGGGCATCTGTTCCTCTTCATTGCCGTAGGAGTAAGAGGGAAGGGGGACGGGGACAGAAGGACGCCCACAATAAAGGCGTTGATAAAGCGAGCTGCCGCCACCTGCGACAGACGAGCGTGAAAATGAGGGGAGGCTCCTGGACAGACATGATTGCACCATATTGTTCTGGCAAGCAGGAAAGAAAGATCTGCTGAAGAATGTAATCCGGAAGGCGTCTTGATAATGAGATAAACTGCTGGTATGGCTCGATATTCGCTCTGATTCGTTCGCGGCTTTTCTTCAGCTTGATGTAGGATGCCATTATTTTCGACATTTCCGCATCTATTTTTTCTAGCTCTCTGCCTTCCTCAGATATCAGGGACTTGACCTGGAGTATTTCGTCGTCATCTGGGACGTAAGATGTCCCAAGGAGGGAGTCGAACTGCGAGGTGTTCATCGGGGTGGCTATCATAGAACTTAGCAGGATAGAAATGCATGAAATCGGGTTATGTACTCACAAAACACAGAGCCTTTGGAATCATGCAAGATCTTCGAGTCGCAATGACCAAAATTTGTTGAAGCGGTTTACCGAGCGTTTTGTTAGTGCCTGTCAAGATCGTGATCATAGCCCTACATGCAAACGGTGGTCAGAGGAAAGGAACTCGAGTTGAACTCCGATGTCGACAGCAGAGATCTCAGTTGGTAGTAGCAGATTAGATAACCTGATGCCTCGGAGCCTCCCTCAAAGGGCTGTCCTTCAACCATTACATACCTGTCTTTCGAACCGTGGGCAACCGTGTAAATCTATTTCGTGAACTCGTTAGCTGATGACTTTCTGACGCGTCTCACTCCCTCAGAGGCAGCTACTAGAGAACATGACATCCATGCCAACTTCTGACGACACGAGTAGTACGGTGACATGGTGCTCGAATCGAAGCCAGGACCCCATAAGCCACAAGATTCCTCCGGAAATCGCCTCCCGAATCTTCAAATTCTGCATTCCACCAGTTATAGAAGGCAAAATCCCAGATGACGGACCGACCTCACTCATGACTCTCGGTGCCGTTTGCAAAAGGTGGCGTGGAATAGCGTGGTCGACACCGGGTTTATGGACCGCCGTTCGCATCTATCTCGACCCCAGCACTGTATCTTTGCATCAGGAGATGCTGGAAGCATTTCTTTCCCGTGCAGGACAGCTCCCCGTCTCCATCCGCGTTGTATCGACAGCGATGCTTCCTCGTCTTGATTCGAATCCCGGTTTCAATGCATTCCTTGACAAAATCAACCAAAGTTGTCGTCGTTGGAAAAGTTTGGATATTCATATCCCTCCTCCTCTGTTTACACGTCTTCATTTCCAAGACAATACCATCTTGGAGCATCTACGTATGAGCGTCTCACGAAGCGATGAAGCATCAGAGGGACCGCTCGACATCGGAAACGCAAGCCCCAAAATTGTTGAAATGGGTTCCAGGATCAAAGCAATCAAGCTTAAGTGGAACAATCAGTACTCAAGCAGATCGTCCTACCTTGCCTGGATTACCTCAGTGCCACCTGTTGCTCCTCGGAACCCCTTCAATCCATGCTTATTCGTTCTCAATGCCCCATACGCACCCTTCATCTCGCAAATATGTACTTTTATAGACCAGTCGAAGACGGGTTCGCCTTCATCAAAATCCTCCAAGTAATTCCGTCCCTCGAACACCTCTGCCTTACCCGATGTAGTGACCTGGATCCACTCTTCTGCCACCTTGGGGCTACATCTTCTATTCGAGGCCCTGATACCGACGAACCGTTCCTCCTCAATCTTACAACACTTTCAGTATCTTGGCGCTCGCACTCATGGGCATCTGTGCCCTTGATAGTTGGCGACGCTCCAGAGTCAAACGGACGTTATCGTCCTATTCAGAAATTGACAATTAAACTCGCTGGAAAGCATAAGACTTTCGACTATTACATCGACGAGGGACTCATCCCAGACATGCTCAAACTTCGCGAACGAGTTGATCTGGAAATCTTGGATGAAACTACCGGTGAAGACATGATCGAAGTGTCCCAAAATTACTATGATGATTGTCGCCGTGAAAGCGAACAGGGTGCAGACAAAGCATCAGACGATGGTGTGGTGGAGGAGTGATCTAGAAGCTTATGAGACCCGGACTACTAGCATAGTGCATAAACAAACCGTTTTTCTCCTATCTCCGTCTGTTCTTATCCTAGTGTATGCCAATTCTGTCATTTCAAAGCACATAGAATTACTTTTCCTTGGAAGGTTGAGGAAAAGAAGACAACATCGAACCGATTAGTGCAGTTCCCCCAAAAGTTTTGTCGCACATTTCTGAATTCCGCGTGCAAGAGATCCAGGAAAAGTCGCAGCCTCGAAGCCGATACCGGCGTTCGCGCCGACGACGACGACGTGCTTTCCGGAGAGATCGTCGGGCACGACGGGTGGAATGCTAATGAACAGTTGGTCGGTAAGGAATCGGGTGAAAGAGAATCTCATGGTCGGGAGGGTCGTGCAAGGATGAAGGAGGGGGAAAGTGTGGTGGAAGCTCATGGCTAGAGTTTACATCTTATAGTATGAATAATACTCTGGGCACTAGCGATTATTCAGAACGCAAGTGAAGGTCGAGCGCCGGCATGCCAGAAGGCTACGTACTGCACACCACTCTACAGGGAACGGCAACCTGCTTGCGAATGCGAAAATAAGACACCGGCTGGCCGTTTCTGGTTACCAAGAATGGTAAAGCCCGAATGAGGTTTGGACAATGAGAATCCGGCTTTTTCTTCCCATTCGAAATTCCCTCTTCCTTCTGCAGGCCCAGCGAGGGGATAGAATAAGCCACAAGGCCTCGCAGAACGGCGATAGGGGTGTACGGATTTTAGTCAAGATGAGGTGTACTGCAGAAGTGGAGGGGCGGAAAGACAGAAGAAACCATGGATGATGCTCGGGCTTTACGGGTTCCGAAGCAGAGAGGAGGAATATACGCTGCTAGTTGAAGAGCAGTCTTCTGCCGAAGCAACGCCTCGTCTTATGGCCGACGAAGGAGGAGCAACTCTGCTTAAGCTATGGTGACCCTCATGGCGGAGTCTCTCAGGTGGGATTGAATGATGAGCTATCTCCGGACGAAAACTTGGTGAAAACCCGTAAATGTGCTTTAATAATTAGTATACAGTAGACGCGCATAGTGAGAAATTATACTTCGTATAAAATATGTAGTCCATCTCCCGATGTCCTTCTATCATAACGGTCATCAGGATTTCGTCTATGTCGAAGAATAGCTACTTGCAACCGCTGCCGTACCGAAATCTGCAAGCAGTTGTCGTGTGAGTGGTGGTTTGGAAGGCGATTAGAACGGCGAAGTTAGACGTGTCACTCGACGAATTCGATGTCTCCCTCTGCACCAAGCCTCCCTCTCTTGACCTTCTCGCCTTTCGCCTTCATGAGATCTTCTATAGTACGTAGCTTGCCGTCTTTCGTCGACTCTTTGAACCATCCCAAGTGGTCCGCGATCAGGTGTCTGCGCGAATAGGTCGTCAATTGCGATTATCACGCATTCGTCAGAGTTGTATAGCTCACCGATTCTTACACCCAGGGCACTGAACTAATACGATGCCCTTCTCGTACGCCTGCTTGGAGAACTGATGCGTTGAACGCTCGCCACAATTGGGCACCGTACACGTGAACGTCAGCGACAACTTCGGCACCATCCTTTCCGGAAGAGCCTGAGACGACGTCGTCGGCTCCGTTGGCTTCGAGTCTGTAGCCTCAGCAGCTGGCCCCGACAGCTTCACTTTGGAATCCTCGTCCGCCGAAGCCGCTACCGTTGTTCGGCTTTGACTTGTTGTCACGACATCGGAGTTGCGACTGGAGGTGGAGAATGGATGTCTGGAGGCGGGTGGAGTCTGCAGCGTATTCGGGTTCGCAGCCAGTCGGAAACGCAGTTGTACCGCAATTGTCGAAGGAAGGCCGGCATGGGGTGTGACGAGGCTTCGGAGTACAGGTGGAATCCCAGTGTTACGGAAAAGTCGGGAAGGAAGCATACCAAAATGTCGATGCGCTCCTAAGCAAGAGTTTTTCTGTTGTCGAAGAAATTTGAAGGAGGCGTTGAGGGGATTCGCAAGTGACCTGAGTGGCGGAGGAACAAGACAGAGAGTGACTGAAAGCCATGACGAGTATTTGGCTCTGTTATTCAGCCGGGCCGAATCTGAAATCAATCTCCTTGAACGTTGAACAACGATTTGAACCTTCCATTGAACGTCTCTCGAGACATTAATCCTATTTGTATTAGAACCTCTGCGGATATCCCTCTAATTTCTCTCAACATCCTGGACACCCTTGGCATTTGGACAACCGCCACAGGAAACTTCTTCCGACTAGTAGCAGTGAGACATAACCAACATTCTCCCGAAGCACAACAATTGGGCACAAGAGTCCGAGGTCACTTTACCTAGGGACCGACCTTGTAAGTATCGAGGCAGACGCGGAGGCAAGGTGGAGCGCTTGACAAACACAAAAATGGATTACTGACTTCTCAGGGCCTCCTGATTTGCAATTAAAGATTCGGTCATCCCACCGTCATTGCGCTGCTGGGAGATCTAAATGGCTGTCGGTGCGTGTTGAATCTTGCAATATTTGCCTGACCTGACCTTATGAACCCTCTAGTGGGCGGGCCAGCACTGTCGACAGTGAGCTTTCCGGCCACAGAGTCGTCACCACAGAAGCAAAAGCCAGTAACCCCTGTGAGGGCACCTCATCTGCCCTTCAGGAGGATCTCGCTGCCCACTGCGCCAACGCTCTTGCATCGAACGTCGGTCGTCAGCGTTGCATCGTTCGATTCGCTTCGGGAGAACAGCGACGAGGTCCAGTCGTCTCCTCAGAGTGCGCCCAAAGGGGCTAGATTGGCCCGTCCAACGTCGGTCGAGTCTCCACGACGAAGAAACCGTACTCGGGACTCGATAGCAAAACCATCGGACGACAGGAAGGCGGCGAAGAGGAGAAAAGTTGTCGACGAGTTTTATGATACAGAGAAGGCGTACGTTGAAGGTTTAGAATTGGTTTACTCAGTGCGTTTTATACCTTCCTCTTGCACGGACACGCCGGACTGACAATATCCGTAGCACTTTCTCACCCCCATAATCGCATCTCTAGATACACAAGATCCACTGCTGAATCGCTCAGTACTCACATCCATCTTCTCCAACTTCATCGACATCTGGAACCTGCACCGGTCTTTCCTTTCAGCTCTTACAACCGTTCTGAAACCAGTCAACATCCCCTCATCTTCAAAATTCCCCACACCCAACCTCGCCCCACCGAAGCTCTCTCCACTGCTCCTAGCTCACTTTCCCTATCTCTCCCTGTACACCCCTTTCGTCACCTCCTTTCCGTCGACCATCTCCGCTCTTACCGAATTAGTGACGCCTCCCACCACGACACGGCCCAATCCGCAGTACAATGCACAGTTTGCAACGTTTCTAGCCACACAAGAGGCCGACCCTTCTTGTGGCAAGCTCAAGTTGCGAGACTGGCTTCTGACAGTCGTCCAGCGGTGCCCGAGGTATCTCCTGCTTCTCAAGGACCTCATAAATGCTACGGACAAGGATGATCCGGAGTACGTGCAGCTTACAGCTGTTCATACTCTCGTTTCGAAAAGTATGTGTATGCTATTTTCTCTCGCGGAACGTGCTCTGAGTTTGCCGTTTTCCAAGTTACCCTTTCACTAAATACATCACTACACACACATGCTCAAACTCTAGCACTGCTAGCTCTACAACGGGCGACTCCGAACCTTCCCTTTCAGCTCATCACTCCAGGACGCAGCCTCGTCAAACGTGGGCCTCTGATCCAACTAGACAGGGGCGGCACGCCTTCCGAGCGCGAGTTCCTCCTCTTCTCCGACTGCCTCATCTGGCTTGCTCCCGCCGAACCCTCTGCCTCCTCATGGGACTGGAACTGGAGCGGCAGCGGCAGTGGAGCCAGCCAAAATGCCACCCCGAAATCAGCTCCGAGCGATCGACCTGCACCCGTGGAACGCTCGAGGTGCAAAAGCGATGCAGAGCTACCTGGGGTGGTGATGGAGGAGGAACAGGGACCTGCATCGACGCCTGTGAGCCCGGTCAAGCGGCGGAGCCAGTACCACATAGACCCGCCCCCGCCCCCTCCGAACATGAGCAAAAGACATGCATCGGTAGATGATAAGTGGGTGTATAAGGGCCGTGTTGAGCTTGTGGACGTTGAGGTGGTTGTTGGCTCGGCGCTGGAGGATGAGCGGAAGTTTGACGTGTTGAGTCCGGAGGGAAGCTTTGTCGTGTATGCGGGTGCGTGATATCGCGCATATGTCAATTGATATGTGAGCTGATAACGAGTTTGCAGGTTCGGAGGAGGAGAGGGACGATTGGACGTCGGAAATCCGCGCTGCCAAAGCCCAGCTGCTAGTCTCTCTCAATGTTACGAACCCCAACTCGACACTCACGTCCTCGGCATCCACGAACCACGTCCGACGGGCCCTGCAAGCCCTTCCTTATCCGCCCTCAGATGAGCGCCTCGCGACCGTCCGTGCGAGCAGCAGCATGGTCGACTTCACTAGCTATACATCAGGGTCGCCACACAGGAAATCCAAGCTTCTGAAGAAGGAAAAGGAGAAAGAGAAGGAGAAGGAGAAAGAGAGAATAAAGAAGCCGTCGGAAAGAAGGAGGAAGGTCGAGCATTGGGTGCCAGCGATTTGGATCCCGGATGGGAAGACGTCGAGCTGTATGCGGTGTGGAAGGATGTTTGGGTGGAGGAGACGGAGGCACCATTGTCGGCTCTGTGGGAGGTGTGTATGTGGAGGGTGTTCTGGGAGGGTACGTCATCTCTCTATGCTTCTTTTTGAAGATTTTCTGATGAGGGGTCGTTCGAAAGACTTTTTTCATCTCCGAAGGACACATGAAGGATGACTCTATGAGCAAGCCTGCACGGGCTTGTGACGCCTGCTACGAAACTGTATTCCCAGTCATCGACACACCTACGGAAGAGGAGACTACGCCAGGCGACGAGAGTGGCGATGTTGAGCCCAATCACGAGCAGCACAACACGGATACCATCACGTCTCTCTCTCATTTGCCTTCCTGGCTCTCCATGCCCGCTTTGCCGGTTCAGCGGACTCCGCAAGCTCTGATGGCGATTGACCTGAACTCCAGCCGCGATCAGGACCTCTCTTTGGACATCGACAAACATATCGAGGAAGGCGGGTTCATCGATGAGCGAGATCTCAGGGCCCGAGTGAAAGTCAGGTCACACCAGAGGATCAGGAGCTATCAGCAAATCCTCGAGGACTTCCAGGAGCAAGCACGAATCGTGAAGCAGGAGAAAGCCGCTCGGCAGCGCCGTACTCCTCGTGCCAGCGAAGATGATCAGGAAGATGGTGGAGACGACGCTGGAGATGAGATGGACGAGCAGCAAGACCAGATCGATGACATCTACTTCACACCGACGCACTCTGCCCTGCCTTCACCTGTCTCCTCGCCCCGCAAACCCCAGCGCCGCGAAGACACTGCACGGCGAAGCAAGCGTTTCTCCCTCCCCGCCATCGCGTTACATGCAACATCCGTCACTGCGCGCACGTCCACCGCCGACTCTGTGGACTCGTCTGAGCGCACGCCCGTCTCTGCCGGGGTTGGGGACCAGATACCGGAGAACGCTTCCGTGGGTGACCTCCCGTCGTCTGCGTCCGCGGTCCCGGGCAGGTCCAAGCGGTTCTCACTCGTCTTGGCTGGGAGGAACAGTGTGTACTCGGAGGGCGGTGTGAGTAAGCAGAGCAGTGAGGAGGGGGTGGATATGGGTGGGCTGGCGAAGGGCGTGGCTGCGGCGAAGCTGAGTGAATTGTTGGGGAGGAAGTCGAAGGGCTAAGGCCCTGCTGTCTTGTTCGTCTTGGCTTCAGACAGTTTACGTTTCGTTAAGCATCTGTTCTAGTCGTCGGTGTCCTTGGTCTTTCTTGACTCTTCGACTATAAGGTACTTACTTGGTGTTATCGTTGTGGATTTCTTTTTCTTCTTTCTGTTATCCCAATCATTATTCTTCTGACATTGCTTCCAATCGATAAACAATCATAGCTTGGTACGGACTGTGACAGTAGGTAGCCAACCCTGGCTCGTATGGAAATAACGAGTCAGGATGCAGATGTACCTTTCTGAGCAGCATAGGCATTACCTCAGGCTCCCGATCGACCCCACTGCGCCACATTTGACTTACCGCAGGGGGAAAATACTGTCAATCTTGGGAGTACCACACCGGTAAACTATGCGGTCAAGTCTTCCCTCTTTGGAACTGTGCGCCACACAAGATTTGAGGGTACCCCACCAGTGGATAAATTGACTAAAACGGTATTTCGACGACCATTGCGGTCTTCTCTCCAAAATCGGTATAAATGCCTTGGATTCTGAGTTGTGCGATTCAATGATTCTGAAGGACGAAAACGGGCAACATATTCTAGCAGCTCCAGTGCCATAAGGTACAACTCTTCTGTTCTATAATTACAAATATCTCTATGCACCTACATGTAAATTCTTTTCTTAACTTATCAGAAGTTGGACCGCTTCTGCATATCTCTTCTTCGTGCCATCCACTACACTTTCTTCGATGACCCAACCTTCACCTTCTTTGCCCACAGGACCACTCTCCAGACCCTTCCGGAACCCAGAGGCGACAAGCCAATCGCGGAGGTACTGCTTATCGAAACTTGGCTGCGCACCGCCAGGCTTGTAGCCATCGACAGGCCAGTATCTCGAAGAGTCGGGCGTAAGCAGCTCGTCGATAAGAATCAGCTTTTTCCTGCCGGACCCATCGGTATCAGGGACGAGTCCGAACTCGAACTTAGTGTCTGCAAGAATAAGCCCGCGCGTCTGAGCGTAGTCAGCTGCCGTGGTGTAGAGCTTTAGGGCGGCGGTAGATATCTCGTCGTACAAGTCCTGTCCGACGAGTTTGGCAGCTGGCATTCGGAGCGTGATTCAGTCAGCCGGAAAAACATGGGGACCAAGGTGGAGGGGCGGATGGACAGATGGTGGCGGTACTGACCTTGCTCCGGGGAGATATTTTCGTCGTGTGCTCCTTGTTCTGCCTTGGTTGAGGGGGTGAAGAGCGGCTTCGGCAGCTTCTCGCCCTCGACGAGCCTTTGGGGGACCTGTATCCCATGGATCGTGCCTGTTTTCTTGTACTCTGTCCACGCAGAGCCTAAGATCGTTTGCATGAGGTTCGGGAACGGGAGCGTCATTTTGGTGATAATGATCACATCGCTGAACTAATACGCACCGGCCAAGTATCCTCGCACTATTGCTTCCAGCGGTACGACCTCTGCTTTCCTCACGAGCATCGCGCGCCCCTCCAGCTGATTCTTGTACTTTCGCACCTCCTCTGGCATCGCATCAACGTCCGCAGTGACGAAATGGTTCGGAATGATGTCGCCCAGTTTATTAAACCAGAAGAGAGAGATTTGGGTCAACAGTTTCCCCTTGTCTGGAATCCCCTGCAACCGGGGTCCGCGTTTTCCGTAAGGCTTCAAGAGAACTGAAGTGTGGTCTAGAGACGCACGTTCTTCAAGATGACATCGTAGGCAGAAATTCTATCGGACGCGACGAAAAGAAGGTGGTCGGGAGAAGATGTGCTGTAGATGTCGCGTACTTTTCCCTTGGAGATCAAGGTCAAATCCGGGAGATCAGAATGTATCAGGGCAGACATGGGAGAAGTGCAAGTATGTCGTATATCAGGCTAGCGGTTACTGAGCGCTGAGCTCTCGACGCTGTGGTGTAAAACAAGGAAGAAATTATCGCGGAGAAATCTTATCTTGCCAAAGATGGCAATATCGTGATGCGATATCGCGTAAATCCCTTTCTTCCTTCTACTCTGTGTCATTATTCTTCCATCTTTCCCTGCAATTCGCAGTAAACTTCATCCCGACGTGTTGAAGTCTGATATAAATCGACGTTCACGATGAATTCCCCGTATCACAAGAAAGAAATTACTCACCAGGACCCGTGGCCAGCGTGGGGCTGAAGAGCGGCCACAATCTCCTTAATTGAACAGCACATGGGTCCTACAAGAGTAAGTCTTGGCTGTCGATATCTTCCACCCACGATGGCGCTAACATCATAGGGTTCAGATCTGTGCAACGTGGGGATCTCCCTGGAAGACCACATGGACTTTGAGGTTTGTGCCTTCAAGTGTGTCAAGTCAAGGCTTTCAACATGGGCGACCGTCTTGGCCCGAGGTTATACAGCGCTGGAAAAATAGACACCCCTCAGGCAGGTGGAACAGCATTCGTCATTCGAGAAAGGCATGACGAGCCCTTCAAGTTTGGGGCGGCTTTCTCGCGGACAACTCTTGGGATACTCTTGCAGCAAGCGACGAGAAGAAAGAGGTACTCGAAGGAAGCTCAGGAAATGTATTATGGGCGGTTTTACTTCCGGTGATTCAATTGGAGGTCGGTCATTGCGGTGTCAACTGCTCATTCACTTGGCTTCTTTCCCCGAAGCTGATTTACAGTTCCTAAAGTTGACATCTATGGTATATTCTTATAATATCAGCCCATACCACTACTCAATGACAGTGAACGCCGTTCTATTCTGATAGAGCATGAGGTATGATCCAGGAAGCTCGGCCTGATACGCAATCTGTCAGTTATGTGCTCTACCACCAGCATTTGTTTGGCCATCTTGCGCAAGTATCGAGGGTATTTTGGGAGTCTTGGCACGCCTGAGCGCATGCTGCGTTTTCGAATGCGATTGTTCGGTTAGACACCTTTGGTCACGCCCTTTCGCTCTCCCATCGGCCAAGACTGCAGGACGACGCAATTGGACCTGCAAAAGCCTCCATTCACTCCGAGACTCCTCGTGCTTCTCTCGGCTGGGCAAGCGCGTTGTCATTCCGCGCTATCTTTTTGGGCTCGTTTCATGACGAATAGCCTAGATGGCACCATGCTCGTGTCTGCACCCCGCTGATATCGACCGGCGGCTGCAGGAACAATCTCGAACTATAAGATAGCGCGTCTTGGAAGCCTTCGAAGCAGGTTCCCAGTGCCCCCTTCCCCCCACCGGCCACCTCTGTTCATTTTGTCACGTCGACATGAAGATCACGTCGAGCTTCGTCCTCCTCTCCCTCGCGAGCGTTGCCTGCGCTCAAGACTTCGGTCCTTCTGGCTTCGGCGGTAGTTGGGGCCGCAAGCCTCTCGTCAAGTCGGCCGACCTCCAACGCACCATCACTGGCTCGAACCTGCTCAAACATGCCAGGCAGTGGGTCAAGTTCTCCCAACTCTCCAACGGCACCCGCGCCTTCGGTACCGCTGGCCACAACGCGACCACCGACTACATCAAGCGCCTCCTCGACAAGACCGGGTACTACGACACTGAACTCCAGACCTTCCCCTACCTCTACTCGCAAGGCAGCGCGACCTTCGCCGCCAACGGCACAGACTACGACACTGCCTGGTTTACATACGGTCCTGCCGGAGATGTCTCCGCCCCACTTGTCGTCGTGAGCAACCTGGGATGCGAAGCTGTAAGTTCCTTCCTATCCCCATTATTGAGCGCCCGGTCCTAATAGCACGCGCTTCTTTTTCCAACAGGCTGACTACCCTGCTGCCGTCGCCGGTAACATCGCACTCATCAGTCGCGGCACCTGCGAATTTGGCCACAAGACTGCCCTCGCTGGTGCTGCTGGTGCAGCCGGTGCTATCATCTACAACAACGCGCCCGGTGCCATTGGTGGAGGCACCCTGGGTGCTATCTCTCGCCCTGACGTCGGTCCTTACGTCCCCGTCGGATCCTTGACAGGAGTGGACGGAAGTGCCCTTGTTGCGACCATTAATGCTGGCTCTGAAGTTGTCGGCAACCTCCATGTTGAAGCTGTCAACGAGGAGCGTTATACCAGCAACGTATTCGCCACCTCCAAGGGTGGAGACCACAATAACATCGTCGTTGCTGGTGGCCATACCGACTCTGTCCCTGCTGGACCTGTAAGGCTTTCATCTTCCATCGTTGCGCCGAACGTGAACTAAGCTTGCGTCCTTTACATAGGGTATCAACGACGATGGCTCCGGTTCCATTGGCATTCTCGAAATCGCCCTCCAGCTCCCCAAGTGGAAAGTGACCAACGCTGTCCGGTTTGCTTTCTGGACTGCTGAGGAGTTCGGTCTCGTCGGCTCTGAGTACTACGTCACCAACCTCCCAGAAGAGGAGCGCCAGAAGATCGCCCTCTACCTCAACTTCGACATGATCGCCTCGCCCAACACCGCTTACTTCATCTACGACGGCGACGGCAGCGCGTTCAACCTCACGGGACCCCCTGGCAGCGCCCACATCGAGAAGACCTTCGAGGACTTCTACGTCAAGTCCAAGGTACGCAGCGCACCCACTGAGTTCTCGGGACGCAGCGACTACGGCCCTTTCCTCGATGTTGGCATCCCTGCTGGCGGCCTCTTCACCGGTGCTGAGGGTATCATGACCGCGGAGGAAGCTGGATGGTGCGTCTTTTTTTTCGCGTCCCCTCAGGATGATATAACTGACTTCATTCCTCTTCAGGTGGAATGGTGAAGCTGGTGTCGCCTACGACGTATGCTATCACCAAGCTTGCGACGGCGTCGATAACCTGAACGTCCCTGCCTGGGTACTCAACACCAAGGCTGCCGCTCACTCCGTGGCATACTACGCCCGCTCTCTGAACGGCATCCCCCGTCCACGCGTCAGCGTGCCTGCTCGTGCCCTCAGTGTTACCTCGCTCTCCTACGACGAGCGGCGCCACCAAGCCTGCGGCCACGATATCGCTGTCCTGTAAAATGGGAGATATCCCTCGGGCGGGTGACCGTCCTTCGTAGTAAATTATCGCAGCATAGTAATGACCTATTTGTAATACTTACGAGTGCAAAGAAAAATACCCAATTGCATCGCATCCTCACACACATTCTGTACTTACTTTTGTGCTCGAGAGCGACGCGGCGGCTTGCGAAGGCACAGAAGGAGCTGGGTCTGGACCGACAGCTCTACCTATGTGTCCATCTTCTTGCTCAGATATCTTTCGAAGATCAGGCCAGATGAGAAGTCCCATTCAATCACATCGTCAACAATAACTTTGTGCCCCCTTCCCATGGCAAGTTCGCAAGTAGGTGCCTTTTCGCATGCCTGGGCGGTGTTCTAGTCCTAGTATTGTGCAGATAAATAATACGAATGGCAAAGCAACCCGACACAGGTATAATACAAGTATGGGTGGATGTAGGTACTGAAATAATGTATATTTTGGGATACAGGAACATGCGGATAGACCCCTCAGCGGGAGGTCAAGGTCATACCGTTGGCCCTGTCAGATGCTCTCGACTTCCATTGCGCGAATCATGGTCATCCGATCGTCGCTCAGCACTCGTTGCCGGCTCTCCTGGTCCCTCGGGTTCGTCACGATACTTGGGAGTCAAACCAGCAGAGGGTTCGTCGTCGTCGAGGAAGCCAGAGTGGAAGCCCAATGCACGGCCGGTGGGTGGGTTGACGGGCACAGCTGAACGGGCTGGAAGGTCGTCTCCGGAAGTAGGCTCGCCGAAAGAATCGTACAACGCCCTCGTTGTGCGTGGGCCGCCGTTGACCCCGTCCGCACCAATTGTACCCATGTGGATATCGTCTGCTGCGAGCGAGGTGTATGCAGCAAGTTTCTGGCGGGCAACACGGCGGCGCCAGAAGTAGACAAGACCGCCAATGCCAAAGGTCATCACAGCACCGATACCAGCAAAGAACCACTTCTGCGAGCTGACGAGTGTCGCCATGTCGCCTGTCCAGCCGCCTCCAGCACCTTCGCTCTCCGAAGGATTGGGCTTGTGGGTCTCGCTCGGGAAAGCTGGTTTCGTGTTCTCGCCAGTCTCGTAGCCGTGGCTAGTCGGCAGGAGGTCGGTGGGTTTAGCGTGCTGGGTCATCGATGTGAAGTCGGGGTTGCCGATGATGGGTCTATCAGGGTCTTGGTTCGGTGGCAGGGCGTTGTCAACGACGGGTTCTTCCCATTTCTTCACCTTCATTGGGTCGATGGCAGAGCCCCACAGAGCCATGTTCCATCCCAAGAAGGTTCCATTGTGTTCTGGGTCTTTTTGGTCATTGACTTTGAGCACCCATTCTCCGACAGGATCTTCACCCCTACGAAACCATGAGTAAGAAACAAGAAAGGAGAACTATCACTAACCAGTGCTTGATGGTCATGAACCGCCATCCAGGGAATCCAGTAGTCGCCTCGTCCCATTCGCGAGTACCAGCAAGAACACTGCGAATGCCGTGTGGGCTGGTAATCGAAACTTCCACATCACCACGCTTCGAGTGGTTAATCCACACCCTAACGTCGATGTGCTCAAGGGACTCCAAGTTGTGCTCCTGCATCATCTCCTTCGTGATGGTCATCTTGTTCTCGACGCCGTCCGCGGGGATAGGAATGCCTCCATGATACCGGTACTTCTTGTGCTTGAGGACCTCCATCTTGCCGTCGCCGACACGGATCGTCTCGGTATGAAGCCAGGCTTGCGGTTTGACGTTTGTCCACTTCTGGGCGGCAGTCACGAAGGCATAGGCATCCAGAGCGCCGTAACCGTATTTGTAGCTGAACATTCGACCCGACGCCGTGCGTTCCCAGTCGGGGTCATCTGGGTTGATCTTACGCGCGGTGTTGACACAGAGATGTTGGATATCTCGCCACGTCAGATCAGGCCTAGTTGGAATCAGAAAGATAGCTTGCTAACAGGCCGCTACGAAGGACCTACCGGGCTTGCAGGGCGAGCGTAAATACACCTACTGCATTGGGTGCAGCAGCCGAAGTACCGCCGTGAGTCCGAGAGCATTCCTTTCCTCTGTCTGTGGTAACCTACAAAAGTCTGCATCAGCACGCCTGAACGACAAAATGGAAAGAAAACCTACAATATGCCGTCCATTGCCTGAGCTGTAGGCGACAATCATGTTCGCGGCGCAGGCTTCCGAGTAGTTCGGATGAAGGCCTTTGTAGTCTACAGACCCAACCGTCACAGAGAAAATGCTGTTCGTGTACCCGTCGAAGTTGCATTGGTCACCGAAACGACCGCCGTTACCACTCGCAAACACGAAAATAGAGCCTTTGCCATCCCGCCCATGATTGATGCCGTTAACCACAGCTTTCCGGATGAGATAGCTCGGCGCGTCCATCGTCTCGCCGTCATCTCGAGGACCCCAGCTGCAGCTGTAGATAGAGACGTCCTTGTAGCCGTAGTTGAGAGCGGCGGCTTCGTCGACGGTCGCGATAGGACCGCCGAGGATGCGAACGCCAGCAGCCTTGGCCTCGTAAGCGATACCAACACCGCAGGCTTCGTTCCTCCTGGCGACAACCTGCCCTGCGCATCGTGTGCCGTGGTGGTCCCGGACGCCGGTTGGCCGAGGGAGGGGTACATGTGCGTTGAAGTCATAAGAATTTTTTTCGTCCTAAAGAGCAAATTGAGCTTGGAGAAATTTCGGGAAAGTCGTCACTTACAAAAGCATCTTTCAAGTCGTCGGTCTCAAAGTCGAGGCCGTCATCGAGGAAAGAGGTCGACACGCCCTTGCCTGTGAATCCCATATCCCACACAGGAGTCGTGTTCATCATATGCTCTGGATATTCGTCGTTGACCAGATGCCATTGCTCCGTAAAAAGTGGGTCCTTCAATCCTAGTCGCTGCGCAACTCCGGATGAAGAGGTTTTGGTCGGTCGTATTGGCGGTGGTGCACGCTTGACGAGCTCCCTAAGTGTCTGTTTCTCGAGGAAATTGACCGACGAGACTATCTGCCTCGCATACAGGCCTTCCTCCGATCGTGCAGTCAGATACGAGCTCGCAATCGTTTGCAGGTTCTCGAATGCAGACAGGATGGGGTCTAGCTCATCTCCCTCCTCCACGGCTTCCCGTCCCTCGACAATCCGTACCGGGGGTTTCGGCGTCCGGACCAACCAGACATCTTCCAGCTCCCCAGCGCGTTCCACCACTTCTACTCCTAATGACCGTGCCACATCCTCCAGCGGGGCCGTATACGTGTCGGGCTTATGTTCGAGAACATAGTAGTTATGGGTGTTGTAGTGTCGTTTTGTCGGCGGCGTTGCGGCGCGGGCGAGCGCAATGGAAACAAGGAGGACCCACAGGAGGTTTTTGGGCATCCTGGCCAGCAGATGGGTAGGAAAAGGTAGGTGCTTGAGGACAAGCCTGGATGTATAGCCACCTTCAGGACGATAACCGCGTTTGAACGACTGTCTGGAGAAGGATCATGATGGAGATGGCACAGCAACGCCTATCAAAACATCCGGCAAGTCCGCACGCGTTCTCAGGGGTGGTGAAGCTCTTTGAACGCATGGCAGAACGAAACTTGAATTTCAAAATGCGCCTTCTTCGAGGCCAAAAAAAGGGGGGAATAGTGGGGAATAGTACGAACGTATAGGCTACATATATTACAAGGGGAATAGAGCAGAGAGACGGTCATTATTCACAATTTATGTAAAGAAAAATGTCCGAAAAAGGAGAGCAAATCTGAACCTACTAAATTTCGTTTGTTCCACCTTCCACCATGGGACCCCTTCCAAAAACCGTCCCTTTCGATGCCGACGGTGTCAGCACCTGGAACCTGCTTCTCAGTGCCGAAGAAGCTGCTAGCAGAGAGCCACAGGCTTTCAAGTACAAGGATCCGCTCATTGTCATTCGCATACTGGGTTTCTTCCTGCTGGACTTTTGGAACCACCAGAAATCTCGTCTCTTTGGCCTCCGCCCATACAAAAGTCTCCTCCTCAAAATCAAGTCCTGTTATGCTGCCCCCAGAGTGACTGCAGGGGATCACATTTTGGCTGCGCAACACACAACGCTTTTCCAACTGGGCCTTAAATATTGCAATTATCTTGTGCGCGTATGTGAGTAAGTAGAGTATTATTCGCCAAGTGCTTCATATCGCCTCGCTGAACGAAGTCCTGTTCGTTTAGACTCTGAACCTCTGCCAGCGACAGAGTCATCGCCCACATCTCGGTCGTCCTTTGATCAGGCCAGGCGAGAGACAATTCAAAGGATGTTGAAAGCGGACAAGACCAAGTCGGATGTTAAGTCTGTGGTACGTCCGTGCACATGCTTTTCGCTCATACCAGTCGCTCATACAATGTAGGCTTTACTCCGTGACGGGTATAAGTGCCTTATCTCAGGTGTCTATGACTGCGACAGTTGCTCTCATCACCAGGAAATCTTCGCTAAGGCTCTCGACGAGAAAAAATCACTAATTGGGACCGAATGTGCGCATATCTTCTCTGAATCTGCGCAAAACAAGGACAGGGTAATTTTCGCATATCATGCTTGCTATTCCTTACTGACGCGTCATCAGCCACCCGAGTATGCAGGCACCACGCTAACAATCCTCAATTTGTTTAGCTTCGATACCGATGTCGAGAAACTTCTTGGGGGACAGGTAAACAGGCTCTCCAACGTGCTCACAATGAGCCACGATCTGCACGAGGGTTTTCGCAAGTTCCAATTCTGGCTCGAGGAGGTCGCTGAAACAGTGAGAATTCCTACCTATTTCCTCTATCTCACTCTTCCCCTCATCCCGATTAAATAAACCTAGCCCAATACTTATAAAGTGATGGCTCTCGAAAGCGCCAATTTTCTTCACTTGCTTGCCGCCCCTCCTGCTCAGAGCGTCACTTTCAACGTCGACTCGGCTTCAGCAGCAGCCTGTGAGGCAAACGACGCCCCGCTCCCTGACTTGCCTAGCCCAACCCTGATCGCGATTCGTTCTGCTTGCGCACGTGTTGCTCACATCTCTGGCGCTATCGAGCAATTCGACCACATCCTCCGCGACGGGGAGGATACAACCGTCATGTCGAGTGATGGCAGCACTGCTGATGTTGAACTTCTTACCTCGCTCATCAATGCGCGTGTCATTACTGTCGGTGGTTAGAGGTTCCTTGGTGTATTTTTACTGGACGCAAGAACCATGTTCACGCTTAAACAGTAGAGCCATCTGTCAGTATTAGGGTTTCCTTTCTTAATGTAAGTACAGAATTAGAGAATAAAAGATTTATCGAAATGCGAGAAGGCCAGGATAGATGCACTGCTCCAACGCTCTAAAAGCAGACTAGGTGCTCGCTGGAGGTACCGAAATAGAAAAAACCGCTGGGCACGGGCTTCTTCCATGTATTTGGCCCATAGTCGATGCGGTTCTTGGACGTCGGATCCAGGCAAGGATGAATGATCGGAGCCATAAGCAGAGTAGATGACGATGGAGAGCAGGAGAACGATTATCAGAATGAACGTGGTCCACACAACAAAGAGGATCGATGGTCGAGGGAGTAGAGTTGTTGGATTGCGAATCGTCCGTGCCTGGGCTGAAGAATGTGGTGTGGAATCGCAAGATGGAAGATCTTCGTGCGACGTCGAAGTGCAGCTCCTCTGTCCGCTTTCCGAGTTTTCGTCTTTATCTTTAACAGCACAGCTGTCTAGAAGGTTTGGAGTCATGGTTGCTCGATAGCACTGTTCAAGGAAATAAATGTCCTTTCTGGGCTTGATCTCGTCTCGGTCGGCCCATGCGTTGTAGCATGGGTTGTTGAGGCAGTCATCGGGCGCTGGTGAGCTAACAATGGGAGGTGGACTTGGAGATTCAACCGATGTGGAATCCTTGAGTAGGTGCACCTTGACAGCCGCGTCGACCATACTCGCGATGATACTCTGGAAATGCTCGTGCAGCGAGGCCGCTATTTTGGCGGTAATGTTGTCGATAACGTGGATAGCATCTTGATGAAAGATGTCGGTCAGGGCGGAAAAGTTTCCGCTCAGTGCCGCCGCAGAAAGAGCACTTTTCACTGAGGTTGCGATGATTACATGGAGACTATCTTTCTCTGGCTGTGGCTGTTCAAGTGTTTCGTTCTGCTAGATAGCTTTCGGTCAGCAAAAGCACGCCGAGGTTGTCATGGAAGGCCATCATACCAGCACGATTGATCTCTCCCTGCGAGACGGCGATCCAAAGGGCTGGATAGAGGTGCTATCACCGACGGTGTGATAGATGGGCTGGTCGGTTAATGTGGAAGAGTCTGAAGAGAACGAGCTATCGCCAAAAGACGCTGAAGAATATATTTCTTAGCCTTTCGTCATGAAGAGATAAAAGGAGGGCCCGTACTTGAGCTATCGTCAGAATTCCCAAAGGAGGGATCAACTGTCGAGATCTCGAAATTCGGTAGAGAAGCTGTAGCCGCAGCCGCAGGCTGTTGCTGTTGTGGTTTTGTCTGTGTCATTCTAGGTGGAGAAGGATGTCAGGTCAATCCAGTGCGGGGGGAAGGGAGTAGAACGTCGAAACTCACGGCACCAAATTTATATAGAAGGGCACAGAAGACCTTTGTTTCTTTCATCCATTCATTTTACCCTCTTCACCGAGTCGGAGGCAAAAGAAACGATTGTCAGTGGCATTTGGCACGAACGTTGAATTTTTGTTTGAGGGGTTTCGAACCAAAAGGCATTAGTGATACGTTCTGAGCGCTCAAGTAGGATGCAAGACACTAGATGAAACTTGGTCGCAAGAGAAGAAAGAGCACAAGGTTCGAAACTTGGTTTAGACAACAGCGTGGGAGATAATTGCTACAATAGTCACTCTCGGCTGAGCGGACCGGTGGCAACGTTCAGCCAATGACATCCGCCTCTCCTCTTAAAGGCAAACCACTGGCACAGGACTTCAGCACACACGACGCGACAGACGCGTTTATGGCTTATGTTCCAGCTACTTCACTCAAGAATAGGACTACATTCTGCTTCTAATGTCTTCGGAACGTCAAGACACCTCTCGACAGAAATATCCTTCTTGTCAAACAACCAAGCGGCAGGCTTCCTAGCGTCCGCGAAAACGATTAACTCGATACCGAAGCCTACTGGACTGCCTGAGGTACGTCTTTGTTTCCAGTGCGGCACTTTATGACGCTGATGATGCGACCAGATCATCGTCACAGGTTCGTACTCTGCACCAAAATCGAGCACACCATGTCGACTATGTTATCGTTATTAGGCCGAGCCAATGTTGGAAAATCTACCTTGCTGAACTCTGTCCTCAAACGAAGGACACTTTTGAGCACGAGTAGTAAAGCTGTGAGTAGCCTCAAACACTAAAATTCAAGTGTTTCTAGCTGACTCTCGAAGGGCCATACAAAAGCCTTGAACTTCTTTCTTGTAGGCCCAGAGCCCGGAAAGTTCATCGTCGTCGATGCGCCCGGCTATGGTGCACGAGGTCGGCCGGAATGGGGAGAGCTGTTCGACCATTATGTCCGAACCCGAAAGCAGTGAGTGTCTGATCGTATTTTCTCTACTCGCACCATTGACGCCTTCCTTGCGCCCCAACAGACTAAAACGAATCTATATCCTCTTCAACGCGAAGCATGGTCTTAACGCCTTCGACAAAGGAATGCTTTCCCAGCTTTCGACCCTCCTGCTCGACGAGCAAGGTGTACAAACGTTTACTCTTCAAAGCGTCATCACCAAGATGGATGACGTCCCCGTCGACGCTCTCCAAACCAATCTCTCGCAAATGAAGAAGGACATCTGGGAGGCTGCGCCTTTGTGTCTACCACCTATCATTACCAGCGCGGAAATGAAGCCTCCGTTCGGTATTGAAGAGCTGAGAAAGAACATCGAGAGTGCTTGTGAGCTCTGAGCTTGAATCTAGCATTTTGGAACCATTCTCGTCGGTTGCTTCTGATTCCTTGCTCTCTGTCGATCTTTCTGATGCTGCAATCTAAAAATTGAATTCAGGTTTCGTTTGTCGGTTCATGATCTTCCTACCTTACCTCCCCTTCAGCACTTTTCAGGCGCCGTCAACCCCGAAACCCCTCGGCCAATCATATCTCCTCTCCTTAAACCCACCCACCGGACTCGCCTTCAGCACCAATCTGGCTAAATTAACCTAAAACTCAGCACGAGATCTCGACGAAACAAAGCCAGGGCGTATCGCCATCCACCATCGAAACCTCATTGGTTGCTTGACAGCCTTTTTTTGGGCCTTGGCCCAAGGACATACTGTATAGACCTATGGGAATACGCATCACGAAAATTGGGGTGCGCTTCCTTCTCTGGTCTTTGTGCCCACCTGGCACCTGGTGATAGCGCCCAAACCCTGCACCGATCCCCAAACCCTGGACGCCCTGGCGGTTGTATGCACATATGGGATTTGCATTTGCAATTTCGCCAACCCAATCTCCACCTTAATCTCGCTGTCGTCGCGTCGATGTGTGTCCGTACGTCCTTTCCGACTCGGACTTGGTCGCTCCCCTCATCCAGCCCCGTTTCGTTCGCACTTTCTCCTCAGCTGGGATACAACGAGCGGTGACTTTTGGCGATCGAGATTGCAGATTCTCCTACCGTCTTCCGGAATAAGGCCCTGCGATCTGATGAGTTTTCGACGCCTTTCGATAGCCGGGACATGGGATGCACATCGACCGTTGGACGAGGAGGAACGCGTAGGAACTCCGCAGAACTCGGACAGGTGGTGGAAACGGGGTGTTGGCGATGGGATGTAATTTGTCCAAGAGCGAATTCTGTGGTCGATAAATCATATCCGGATTCCGAATGGAGCACTCGGTCGACTGCTGTGATCACACGTATGGATTATCGGACGCCGCATTCCCGCTGCAAGCCCTCTGTCCTTGAGGGAAGTCGAGTACATGCGCCTCCAGTCTTTTTTCGAAATCACAACTTGTTCCAAACATCCAGGTTGACATAAAATGCTGAACTGAACCCAGAACATACATGCCGGCATTATGTGGCGTACGCAGTCCCCAGTTCCTGAATGGTCTTTCACTATCCTCCTATGCAACTGTCACTACCTGACCCAACGGTCTTCAAACAAACTTACGGCATGTTTGCCTCGAAGCCTCCCATTCGATGTTCATGATTCATTCACCCCAATTAGGACCAATGCGTACAACGCTAAAAGCTAAAATTGAATCTTGGGTCGAAGTGAGGTGTATAGTGCCCCCCAACGGCACTAGCGATCACACAGAATGACGGGCAAGTGTCGTGCGGGTGACACCGGCGTTTATCAGTATAGGCGTCCAACCGTTCAACATGTATTGGGCGTTCGGACACCGTTGGACTTTCTTGGAGGCCGAGGGTGATTGAAAGGACGAACAGGACGGTTGATGTGTGGCGAGGAGGCCCTAGTGGTATCTTGCTACGTAAGGTCTAGCTCTGACCTTATGTTTCGAAGAGGAATGACGAGATGGGCGTCTGTTTAGTCTGGTAATCTGTTGTCCGAACGAGACGGCCTCGAGGGCTGCACGAATTGAGGAGCTTCTGACACCAGCAGCAGTGTGAAGATGGCGTGCAGCCCGAGGGCGAAAAGCAAAACCGACGATGATATACCAAAGGGTCTAAGTCACTTTGTGAAGTGGTACCGAGATTCTTGAGATTGATAACAAAGTGTACGCATGATGTGTAAAGGGGGGCAATTATATGGAGCACGCCATGACGGTACCACATAGCGTTCAGATTATTTCTATAATAGAAGGCCAAACGCTGAGAGAAAGTGAGCTTTCACCAGATGTAACCCAGTTGTATGCGTACCTCAGGAGTCCAATTGCAGCTTGCAGCATAGCGAGCAAGAAGGGTATCCACCTGCAGGAACAAAAACTCTATAAGCTTGGCGGACGGAAAGATCATGAACACGGAACGTACGTCGACATATTGAAATTCGCCGACTTGTACAACCCCGTCGCGACAAAACCCAGTATCGCAGAGCTGATCACCGAGCCCGCAAGGCTCATGAAGAGAAACGTGAAAAATACGATGAGTGCAAAAGCGACTCTCGACCGGCGTTCATTCGGCTTCGGAGTCTGGGTTGGCTGAGCATGCAATTTGCCTTGCGAGGTCGTCCCGACGGAAACAAGCTGATAAGAAGAATCTCGCGTGTGCTGGCTGCCATTAAATCGAGGTGGGGGTGGGAAGGCGTAGTTCCAAAAGGCATATGTGCCACAGATGAGGAAGATGGGCGTGTAGAAGACTAGTGTCCAGTAGAACGTGAATCGGAAGATATCTGGGGGCCGGTTAGGCTTTCAGTGTGTAATGGATTCATGCTTCTACACACCGTTAGCGTTATAGAGATATGCACCCCCAGGTTGGCGGGGGTCACTGTGATCAATGCGGAGGATCTCTATGCCAGGGTTGTATAAGGACGGCCAAGGAGGTGTGTCCTGTTGCGACATCGATATAGGTATAGCTTTGGTGGTAAGAGGTCATTAGATTCGAATGAAGAGGTTGGCGTGCCCTAGTAATAGTGAAATGCCCTTTCTAGCATCATTCCCTCGTACTAGTGGGACTTGAATCAAGTTGAATGGGTTTGGGAGGCCCGTCACAGTCACTTTGGACACACGGCGTGACGATACCACAGACACCGAGATTAGCAGATAAGATTAGATTTTCGACTTTCAAGATGGGTTTCCTCAAGAGCCTAAGTATCCCCTTTGTAAAGAACTCGAAAGCTGTATCTAATATCGCGGGAAGGAGGCACGATTGTAAATAGATGAAAAGCACATTCTGGACGGGGAGCGTCGGCAGTAGTACCAAGGTTCCTCGGGGGACCATCCAGAGTCCATACATGCAAAATTAATGCCAGGCTCCCATTGGTGGTCGTAATGTTCTGTTACATGCAGCCAATGGTGGTGTGCGGTTGGTTGGTGACCAGGATTGGACAGATTGGAAAGCGCCTTTGTCGCGATCCACAGCGAAATCGGGATGCGAAGCGCATCAATGGTGGACGCCAATGGAGAAGGCCAAGCTCCCAAGGATTGTGTCACCAATTGTCGCTAAGATAAGTATGTAGACTGCTTTTGACAACAATTTGTATTTCCTGACTGCTGATCCCTCGTTATCCAGAATCCCATTGATGGCTTGCTGCAAGCGACATGCTTGGGCATAATTTGCAAACGATTCACGATGCATCCGCCTCTAAGTACATTTTGTTTCCGCGGGCGGCGGAAGTTTATTGAGTTCCCAATGGAATCTTTTTTGGTGTTGACTCGCAGTGAAACTTTCTTCGAATGCACGACCTCTGTAGGCGATGTTTCGTTCGATACGGATTTACGCCCTGCAACACGTCCTCCTTTTCCGTCGAGCGATTTCTCTACCACATCCTTCTGATCGGGGTTCGCGGGCAGACGCAGTTCATCATGGATTGGCCTTTTCAATAATGCCCGGATGCTATTGGACGCTACCTTCGTCTACAAATCCCATAGGTCAGAACCTGAATTTGCCTTGATTGGCCAGAGGCGCAATCCCCTCTGGCGACCAATCATCGTGCTAGGGCTTTGAGGGCCGGAAGTCTCTTACATATTCCTCCTGGATCTAGACGTGCTGACGATTCGGAGATGGCTTAAAAAGTAATAGCACTGGCACAGCATGAAAAAGACAAGCCTTTCGCTGCTTTATGTGCCAACTCCGAAAGTCTCGTTCGCACCTGCCTGATCAGTACTCTCGGGTCAAAGTGATTGATAGAACATGTCTCCTCCTACGCCTGTCTTCTAGTCCGCAGGAGAGATTAAAACCCGTACGTGGTGCTTTCTGCCGTAATAGAAGGTGGATAGCCCTCTCCACAGGTTTTCCTCCAGACTCCCCGACGGATAAATGGACGGAAGACCAAGAGTAGTGATCTTACCTAAATGGGGTAAGATCCACCCGACCTTGTTCTTCGACCAGATCAGGACAGGCTCAGGTACGCGGAGAAGCCGTGCTTATTTGCACAAGTCGTGAGCAGTTCGCGGGTGGCCACAGGACAGGCCTCAGGTGGTCTTTCTGGAGATGGAAGAAATGCCTTAGATCGAAAGGAACGTCGCTTGTGGGCGTAGCGGCTGGCACCATGACCCTCCCTCCCCAATTCAGTCCGTCTCGAGAGTTTGGCGAAACTTAGGTTAATTAACTTGGAAAGGTGCCTAGTCGGGGTATCCTCTGCTTTGTCAAATGTCCGAAGAACGAGGAGGGTACTGAACGATCGAGGCTCCTCGACTCGTTCGCGGGATGATATTCAGACTGGAAGGCAGCTCGAGTATTGTATATTCAGGTGACCATTTCCTTCGGGTATCTGTGGAATCTAGAAGGGAGATTCTAGACTAAAGGCCTTCTGTTTCGTGTTGTCTCTTACTCGGACACGAAATAGATATCTTCCGCCAGAGTGACCGACGCCGAGCTGATGATGACCTCGAGGCGATTACATGGTGCCTTCTAGGTCACCCCCCCAGCCTTTCACGTTGAGACGATTTCCATTTATTGAGGTAAAGAGTCTGAGATGTTCCCGAATGACGTCGTCAAGGGGCAGCCAGATAACAAGGTCTACGAGTGTCACAACGCCAAAGACGATGCTTTGATTGCGATGGGCGTCTACTACGTATGTGCATACAGGATGTGAACACAAGTAGAGTACAACAATTATTGTATATGCGTGGTGGTACATAATAAAGATATCACAAAACAATACACCCGACGACCAACCCTATTGAGGGGTCATCGCGAGCCTCTAACGACGTTCGCACTTTACAATTTACACAGGTTCTCAAAAAGGCGGATGGGAGGTAGAAATAGAAATAGAAATAGAAGGTAAAGGTTGAAGGGGAATCACGATAGTCGAAAAGGAAGACGGCGATAGGAAGGTAGGAAGGTAGAAAGGTGAAGTGAAGGTAATAGATAATATAAGTACACGCAAAAGCTGGAAAGGGAAGCATACAGATGAAGGAAGGAAGGTCGTATAGAACAAGAAGAGTCCGACAAGGTATCAATAAACGCGAGAGAGGAGGATAATTTAATATTCGGGGTGAGGATATCCGTCGAGAGCCTCGCAGACGCGCGACATGTCGAACATATGGGCAGGGATCGCGACAGGGGAGTACGCCGTGGGAGCATAGACGGGCGCTACTGCAGGGAGGCTTTGATGAATGTCGGAGAAATCGTACGCGGCGCCATCGGGGACGTAGGCGGGGGTATAATCCATGCCGTACATGGCGACGCCATCTTGACCCGGGTAGGCCGCCCAGGAGGACGCGTCTGGGTTGGTGACGGCAGTGTAGGCGAGCTCATTGTAGGCGCGAGGCAAGAAGTTGACATGGAGGGAATACTGGATGAAGAAGAGGGCGGGCGCAACTTCTTTGTAGGCCCCCGCGTGGTCGGGCTTGGAGAGGAGGATTTCCTGAGTGATCATGTACGTGGAGATTTCTGGATGAGGAACATAAGTGATCGCGCTCTCCCCGACATGGAAAAAATCGACTCACCCTCGGGATTGGACATGATGACGCCCCAATAGTCGGGGACGAGCGTCGTGCCAGAGTAAGTCGCGGACGCATCGTTCGTCGAGAAGTGAGCGAGATAAGGCGATGCATGCGAGTCGGTGTATACCAGCTCCTGGTTCTTGTAGACGTACGAAACGCAGCGGTACTCCGCGATGGCGGGGAGCCTGCCCGCGTTCGAGCTGAAGCCGACCGACGGCGCGCGGCTGTCGATGATCTGTGACGCCTGGACCTCATAGCAGCGCGTGGGCGTGTGCGCCGGCGCAACCGAGAGCGAGTCCGTGAGACCCTCGTCGAGGTCGATCGTGAACGAAGGCAGGGCGACCGGGAGCACGCCATTGTCCTTGATGGTCAAAGAGACGGGAATTATGATGGTGGGTTGAGGGAGCGTAGGTTGTTGAAAGGAAGGTGGCTGGAGCTGATGCTGTGGAAAGCAGGGCTCGGTTGGAGAAGTAGTCGACGCGCGCGAGATGGTCTTGGCGGCGTCGGAGGCGGCACTGACGAGGGTTCGAGACGAGGACGAGCGCGGAGACGCGGCGAGACTGGCAGGCTCTGGCGAGGACGCGTCGCCGTCGAAGTGGGGTACTTCGTCGACGTAGTCCGGCCCAAAGAGCGAGACGAGTGCCGAACTGGGGATACGACGGCTCTTGAAGTTTTTGTTATTGATCAGGTCGAGCACTGCGATGAAAGGAATATGAGGCGTTGACGGAGGAAGGATGAAAGAAAACGAACCCCAAGGAATCGTGCAAGTCTCCCGCAATTGCTGAAGGCGACTTCCGACTTGCTTCGCGGTCCTGAGCTTCTTCTGAGTCTCCTTAATATACTCCGAGATTCTCTTGTTCCTTCGAGGAAAACGCTGAAGGGCTTTACGGTCCTTCGACGTCCCAGGGTGGTACTTGATAAGACCTGGAGAGCGCATCAGCGACAAACGAGAAGCCGTCAAGAAAGTAATCACCTCTGAACAAAGCCTTCTCAAGCTCGGGCGGCCACACAGCCTCCCTGTACTTCTGGCCGTTCTTCGCATTTTGCATCTTAAAGGTCTTGCGACCAGTAGGAGGATCGCTGAAGAGCCCGTACGCGTCGTCGGCGGCGTCGGTGAACATCCTCGAGTGCGTAGGCGCCATTGATTTGAGTCGAATTCGGCGGAGGAGGGAATTTGAGTGCTGTCGAAAGTTCCTCCAAGTCGCAGAAATATAAATACCATCTTCGATTCGTGAGAGGTTTTCTGTCACTTCTCCAGGAAATCGGGAGATTCATCTATGGTTGCATGGATCGTGGCAAATTTGGAAAGCAATCACGGGTGACTGTGGCGATCTGATTCTGAGCTCAGCGGTGTCCGTGTTTGTGATAGGCTACTTAGAATTTATGGTGGGCGTCGCGTTCCTTTGTTCGAACCTATGTGGCTAGACTGAAAACACTTCAAACGCCCCAATCATCAAGTATTCTGGTATCTTCCTGAACCACTGTTAGTCCAGTGGGCTTGCACGGTGAATTGGTCCTTGGCTTCTTTCGTCGTACGTGCTGTTTCCTGCCAATACGCGCTCGGATGAAGGCCGTCGTCTTCGCAGTGGGCAGGTGCTTTGAGAGGTGCAGATCCCTGCCAAGTCGCGGATAACGGGGGTTTGAAATCAATTTCGATACTTTCTGGCTGTCGCACAACGGATGAGCTTGACTTGACAAAAGGAGAAATATTGTTTCGGCTGTGAGATTCCTTGTCTGTAAAATTCGAAGAATGTTAACCCCGATTTCTGTGTAATTAAGGTAATGACATGAGGCACACCGGGCGATGGTATCGACAGGATTTCGAAATTGATAGTCGATACCGCACCCGTCAATGCCCTAGATGTTGTGCACACCAGTTGGACAACGATAGTTTGGATCTCGCTGAGGCGAAGGAAGAACGGATCAAGTTATCCTGGACAACGAGCAGCAAGTGACGTATGAGTATGCCGCTCTTAAATAGGCGGACAATGGACGATGAGAAGGGGGAAAATCCGAACAAAAAATGGGCCCTAAATTCGGTGGCAACGACGGACTCACGAAGTCGTAGATTAGTCGGGCTATCACAGCATCGCCGGACAAGGCCTTGTATCTTGGGCGATAACGTGTATATATGTCTTCTGAGCTTAAAGGCCGTTCTGCACTTCCAGACTTTCTATTTTTTGAGGTCAGCGCCGTTAGTTTTCGCTGGGTGACCGTCGAAAAACATACGCACCAGATCCGAAACTTGCAGACATTGTGGGGTCCACAAATTCAGGACGCGAGTGCGCGTCAGATGTCAAAGTGGATATGCATTTTCTGGCTGTAGAAAAAAAGCAAGCAAAGTTTTTGAATGGTGTGGCAGACGAAGAGCCTTGATCGATCGCTGAGGGCGGGATTTGTTGTGACGTATTTGTCAACAGCCTCTCTCGCCCAGAAATCTTGTTGATCGCTGATCGCGACGGCGAGCTCGACTATCTTGACGCCATCGTACATAGCGACCTCGGCAATGGATCCGTTGGCGGGAATGGACGATTCGTCGACAGATGACGAGACCGCATCGCAAACTACTGAGGATGACCCCCAAGTGCCTGAAAACCATCCCCCGCAGCCTCCGGAGCCGACTCCTGCACCGCTCCCCGTTCATCCACCTCCACCGCCCGCTCCAAGCACCACCCAGCGCGAAAAGCCCCACTACGCGCTGCGTAACACGTTGCGCGGCCATACACAATCAATATCAGCTGTCAAGTTCAGCCCAGACGGAAAGCTCCTTGCCTCGTGTGGTTAGTCGTCTTGTTCTCGACAGAAAAAAAATCGATGTCTTAAACCGCCACCCCATCGTCAGGCGCAGAGAAGGTCGTCAAAATCTGGTCACCTGAGACTGGAGAGTTCTTGAGAAATCTGACAGGACACACACAAGGGCTCTCAGACATTGCTTGGTCGTCGGACAGTGTACATCTTGCATCTGCTTCGGACGACACCACTATTCGGATCTGGGATGTCGAAACAGTGCGTCTCTGCGCCTTTTGCTCTGCCTCGTTTTCCATCAGAGCGCTAAAGGTCGCCGAAACAGGGTCTGACCCACAAGCTGCTCAAAGGCCATACCAAATGGGTGTTCTGCCTCAACTACAATACCGCCTCGAATCTCCTCGTATCTGGTGGCTGCGACGGGGATGTTCGAATATGGAATGCAGCGCGAGGTTCGTACTTCGGTTTAATTTTGAATTTACTCTTCCATTGTCTTCCGGAAAGAGTTTACTGTGGCATAATCATCTGCAGGAAAGTGCATGAAGACACTACACGCTCACATGGATTATGTCACGGCGGTGCACTTCAACAGGGACGCGACACTCATCGTATCCTGTGCCCTGGACGGGCTCATGTACGTTCCGCTGCATTGTGCTCTCGTCCCCCGCCCTCCGTTTACCCCGCGTTTATATAGCCGGATATGGAATACGAGCGACGGACAATGCTTGAAGACGCTCGCCGAGGGGCATGATGCAATTTGGTATGTGCCTGTCTTGCCATCCCTCTTGAATTTTCTGACACTAACCAAAGCCAAAATTTCGCTCCACCCGCAGCCAACACGTTCAATTTTCACCCAACTCAAAATATATCCTATCCACCGCTCACGATAGTGCGATCCGATTATGGGACTACCAAACGACGCGCTGCTTGAAGACTTACACCGGCCACGTAAATTCGAAATATTGCATCTCCGCCTGCTTTAGCGTCACTGGAGGCAAATGGATAGTCGCTGGGAGCGAGGATCACAAAACCTACATTTGGGACCTCCAAACCCGCGAGATTGTCCAGGTTCTCGAAGGACATACGGGTATGTCACACTCCCTGCGTCCGAAATTTCAGGACCTGAGATCCATCATAGATATTGTCGTCGCAGTGGCGGTGAGTCTTTGTCCGCCCTCGCTGTGCCTGTATTTTCCCTCCGCCTCTGCTCAATACTAACGATGATGACGCCCGTAGACCCATCCCACGCAGAACATGATAGCTACGGGTTCGATTGACTCTGACTTGGCGATCAGGATTTGGGTTGATCCGGGACCGAGACCAGGGGCCCTCAGAAACTTGAGGTGAGGATTATTGTTGTAGTTGTTATCTAAAATGCTGTTGTCGTCCGTACGTGTTATACCCACACTGTATTACCATCTGTACATAGAAAGCTGTCTATCTTATCCTTTCCAAATCGATTGAAATATCAGACGTTTTTGGAAATCGCCTTGCAGTCGCGAAACTACATGGTAGACCAAGGAGTGAGAGCTTCATTCAAAAGTGGACAGCGGCGTACAAGTTACTTGAGAGGTTCCGCGTGTAGAAGATCTGATAGAGATTTGCATCCGTTTAGTACCCCAAAATCCAATAGCGCGCAAGACAGAAAGGGCAAAGATACGCACCATTAGCAACCGCTTTGTCCGCCTCACTGAGGCCTGAATCATGGGCCTCTAAGAAGGCATCGACCTATCAAAGCAAGAGCAAATAAATCCACATGTTCACCTATGTGAAGTTGACAAAGTACACTGACCTCGTCCATGACCTGATCATCGTTATCATCAGCTTCAAGTTCGTCGTCGTCCTCATCGTCGTCCTTGGCGTCGTCGATCGCGAACGGCGTGCGCTCCATAAGAGCGGCAGCGTTGACGGCTTGGAGCATGGGAATTGCCGACAAGCTGCCACTGTCGGGCACGGAGGGCTGGGATGGTACGTTGGGTGGTTCGAGGTTTGTGTTGACAGTGAGTGTCGACGAGGAGGACGGTGCGAGGGTAGTCGTGCTCGAGGTACCGCTGAGGCTGGCTTTCGATAGCGACTTTCGCAACGTCGGCGTAAGCAACGATTCGCGCGCTTTTGGTTCTTCCAGTTTGGTGTATCTCCCGATAGAGGGCTTGTGGACGACCTGGAAACAAAACTAATTAACTTCCATTCGTCTCGGGGGTAAACATCTGATAGACGTACCTGATGCTTGCCAATGGTCTTCCCAATCTCGTCCGTGAACATGTTGAAGATCTTTTTGTTGCTGTCCGTCGCGATAGACGACCATAGATCTCCCAGAATCCCGCTGTTGACTAGAGGAAGGTCCATCTCGGGCAGGTGCTCCAGTTTGAAGGATTCTGAAAGGTCGGTCTCGAAGAACGATTCCAGCACTTCTTCAGCGAGGACGACCATACGGAATCTAAAGAGAAGCCGGTTAGCATGGCAAACCGCGTAAATCTTATAAGGAAGAGCACTGACGTCGCCAGGTTGAGGTACGGTTGGTTGGAACTGACTGGAGGAGGAGATTCAGGCTCAGCATTGGATTCCTTGCTTTTCGATTGTTCGGGTTGAGGAAGGAGGGCGTCGCCGTATTCAAAGGCATTTGTCATGAACCGACTGACGGCACCTAGATACGCGTCGCCGATTTCGTATCGGAAGATGAACTACATGCAGGGGGCATACATCAGAAATTGCTTGGGACAAATAGGAAAAACCTACTAGGAAGGTTTCCGACAACGTCAGGACTTCGTCTTTCGTAAGGAACCCATCCTTGTTCTTGTCGTGGAGATTGAAGAACCATTCGATATTGTCCATCAAATCGTTGAACATCACACCATCGAGACCAGATACCAGGTCCTGGCGAAGCAAGTAAGATACAGAGTTGGAAACACGAGCACATCGGTGACCCACCTGGAAAGACAAAGCTCCGTGACATCCTGTATCCCAGAAGTAGAACAATCGATCGATGAATTCGTGCTCGGCGATTTCACGATCAACACGTTGCTACCAAACGACTCTCAGCTCAACAGCCTGTCCTCAACAAGCAGAGGACAAAGCGAACTGACCTGGAAGCCATTCATGACAATCTTGTCGTCTCTCGCCCACGTGGCAATCTCACTCAAGAAGTACCTAAATGTCCTCAGACCAATCCGCGTCTCTGGCCTCTCTTCGTGGTACCCATCGGCGGTCGTTAGCAGCGTCGGAGGCGGTGCAGTTGCGGGCGGTGGCGGGACGATGCACATCGCTTTATATAGCGCGTCGTAGACGAGCCCCGCCTGCTCCTTGTTGAACCTACCGAGAGTACGCAGGTTTCGGACTGCACCGCGCCGGGCGAAGGACTCGATGCTGTGGATGATCTCGCCGCGGAAGCGTTTGCGCTCAGAGAGAATGATCTCGTCTGTGATGATCGAGAATTCGCGGAAGGAGACAAGGAGAAGCTCTTGGAAGACGGTGATGGCGCGTGCGCGAGGATCGGAGGAGTTTGGGTGGGCGGACTCTCCGAGGCTTGCGAAGTAGTCTCGCATGAGGCTAGACGGTAGAGGTAAGCCAGCGTTATGGAGGTTGAGGGTATTCCTACTTCAGGAAGCCACCGTCATCCTGGATTTGGAGGAGCTGTTCCCCGTTGATCTTCAGAATGGCTGCAGAAGACGAATATGTAAATTCCAGTGATTGAAGATCAAGGGCGAACTAACCCAGCCTATGAGATCATGTCAGTAAAGACCTCAACTTTAGAATGGTCCACTTACCCAACTTGGAACAGAACCTTTGGACCCATGCAGAAGAAGCAATCAACTATCCGGAACGCAAACACCATAGGCATACTATTGATATACCTGTGAAATGCATCATGAGAAAAGTCTCAATTTCAGACCCCATATTACTCACAAACTCAGGAACCACGGGAGAGACGCAACTGATAGTTGTACATCGACAGCCTGGAAGTGGTCATGGATGATGGGTAGATATTTTTGCACGAGAGATTCAAAGACTCGTTGGTCGAGGAGTGTACCATGCATTGACGGTCTGTAATTCATGAGCATGAAAGGGCAACGATAGAAGACGGTACTGACGCATAGTAACCCGGTAGTAGACGTCCACAGAGCACCTCCAACAACCAAAAGGCCTGCTCCTCTGACATGTAGCTATACACGACATTCTCAGCCAAGGCCAAGTCTGGTAGATCAGCTCGATGGCTTACATTAAAATGGCCGCTGCAAGAATGTTCATGGCCTACCAAACGTTCAACCGGAGGAAAGACGTCTAGATGTCAGATACTCGTACCTGGCAATACCCGAGTTCTGGGTTCATAAATGAGTATGCCCGCAACACCCGACGAAGAGCGTTAATCCCATCTTCTGACTGGTATCCAGCGTATTCCGGCAAGCTACGATGAAGGTCCTTCTCGATGTCGTCGGTGCTTGTCGTCGTTCGTCCTTTGTGCTCCTCCAGCAGTCGTTCGTAGTATCCTGGGTTCGCAAACCGGAGGTATATTGATCCTGATAGGGTCTCCCACATCTCTCCACGCAATCGGTTGGGAAGGCCAACCTGGACGAGTCGCGTACATTGTGGGTATCGGAGGAGGGTAAGGTTTCGTCCATGAGCTGTGAATGATGAACATTTTGAATCAAGGGGGGGACGATGACGACTCACTCTTCAAGTACGTTGTCCATAGTTTGATTTTTGAACCTTCTCGGAGTCTGAGGGAGTTGAACAGCTTGTCCTGGGATAATGAAGAGAATCACTGACTTCTTAGGATCTCCGGGAAATTTAAACTTCAGGCCTAAGCCCCCGTGGTAGCTGACTTCCTGTCTACTGCCGCTCTTCTCGTCTGTTATCAGGCTTCCGTCCTCGTGTTCGTTGTCTCCGGCGTTCGACGTTTCTGAAATGAGCAATTCGGAATAGCATGTCTTGACGAAACCCTTGACCAACTTCATTTGCCCTCGTTGAAGTTCGATCTTCAGGGCATCGCGTAGTAATGAGCAGAACAGGTCTGCAGTTGGGCGGAGAGACGTCAATTGAACAATCTACTTTCGAAGGTTAACGAAACATCATTATGACAGCAAAATATGCCAACTCACGATCTTCATCCCGTGCCATGTTAGTAGGCTGAGTGCATAAACTCCTGCCCTTGCATTCAGTCTTTCCACCCGTCGAATAGTTGAAAGCGGTATCGTGAACCGCACAGACTTCCTGTCGAGAGACGAGAAGGCCAGATAGGGCGGCATAATGTGTAATTTCCCGGCCTACCAACCGTAGAATCCACAGTCAGCCTGAAGAGCACGATGAAACAATGATACGACTCACATACGAGTCCTCCGCCTCCCCGACACTCAGAACCGCATTGATTTCCATCTTCTCCACATCTTCGTCATCAGAATGGTCAGATTTCGGCACTACAGAGGTAGGGGGTAGCGAGAAGAAAATCTGGGTAAGCTCTTCCTTCGTTGGCTCCTTGAAGTGACGTAGAGCGGTCGAGATCGACATGATAGCTGTCCTAGATTCAGTGTACAGCAGGAAGGCAGAGATCAAGCAGCTACGTGTAGTAGCAAGTACCTCTCAGCGAGCTGAGGCCGCCGGGCTGAGTTTGAGAACGAAGGTGGATAAGTGCAACTTGAATCAGGTACGAAAGTAACGAAACCCCTTTGGGCGGCTTCGATGCGGCACGGCGTGACATTCCCATGGTGAGAGGCGCAGGAGACTACAAACTCACAAACTCACGACGCGACAATATAAGTGTATATTTAGTCTGAAATAATTAGCAAAGACTTGCTGAGCTTCCTCTTGGAACCCGAAGGTTTACCTTCGCACATAGGAGAAGGCATTTCGCTGAAACAATCATCTACATGACTTCTACGATTTCCCTAGTAGGCTTTCTGCTCATATTGTACATCATGAAGCCGTGAGTGGAGGTAGTCCAACTTATCCAGATACGAATTCGAAGTAAATACCTTTGTACAAAACCAGGAGAGAGATGAGCGGCGGAGTTTACCGGCCCGGTGGTGCTTGGACCAAGTCAAGATTGCAAGGGCCACAAAAATCTTCCCTTCCTTCGAATTCAGACCATCATGAGTGCCTGCCTTCTTAGTCTTTCAGACACCCGAATGCAATGATTCAACCCTCTTGGCTTCGTCATTTGTGCCCTGTGGATGTTGAGTGTCACCAGTCCGTGCCTGGGGTTCGGCCAAGGACCACTGCTCTCGAACGCGTATCGCCCGAGGAAACGCGTTTGACGGGCTGCAGGCCGCATATAACGGCTCGAAAATCTTGCAGGCGCGTCGCTCGCCAGCACATGAGGCAGTGCGTGACTCGGACGCGTCGGTCGTAAGCTCCCCCATGTCCGTCAGCTCTTGACTCGTTGCCAAGTCCTGATACTAACGAACTACGCCGATAGGAACCTAGAGGATTTACTTTAGTCTGGCAGGCTATCACCGCCATTGTAGTCTCAGAATGGCGGACAGAACATACGTTATCATCCCTACTGCAAGCAGAATCCTTGGTGAGTGGAGTTTACATGGTGATGTCCAACTCGGGTCGACGCGTTACATCCCAGGCCCGTGATATATCAGCCGTATATGCACCTCCTCGAGTCATTCCGCTCCAGTATTGTGAGAACGCGTCGCGTTCTTGAGGAACACGCGGTCGAATTAGTGGCAACCATACGAACAGGGGGAGGTCCAATCACGAATCCAATTTATACTGCCGCGGCCCGCCCGCGGGTTCTCCCAAGACATCCTGTAAGTGATATCTTAGATTGAGAGAACAATGGAGAACTGACTCAGTGAAATACGATCAATTAGAACCTCTGGCGAGATTCGGGTTGGCTTTTGATGGACGTGGCACGTATATATGTGTGTCGTCCTGGCTTCAAACACCCCCTTGCCTCTCCTCCAGCTTGCTCTTATGGCTGGTTTGTCCTTCGCCTTCATCGATATCGGTCTCCTGCCAAATCTACATCGCCATCCAATCGTGCAGCAATCCTATGTGATGCGTGAAAAGAAAGTTCGATTTTGACCCAGTGCCAAGGAGCCAGAAACATCGTTGAGGTTGGACAACATTATGAACTTGAAGCTACCAAGAACGCGACCTACAACAAGACGGCTGACAGAAGTTTTGCGCATCCAGAAGGCGCCCGTCGAGCAAACATCGAAAGACATGCTACGGCGCGTCAGAAATGGACTGTCCATTCTGCCCTTGTTCTGGTCGAGATACGCTGAGAAAGAACCACAACTTCATTTTCGCACAAGGGCGAGGCGTAAATGGCTTGAAGGTCTCCAGACAATGTGAGTAGAAGGCAATCGACTCCGGGTGAGTTTTGGCACTGAATGCTTTGTTCATCCGTCGTCCTCACGCCTTGGGAGAGGCTTTGTGGTTTCCAAGGAGCTGAACGGGGATTGGGAGGAGGACATTGTTCAAATTCCCTAACCGGGCGATGAATCAGCGACAACGCCCACTGAAGCTAACAGGGACAAGCAGATGAGTTCCCAAAGCGTCCCAAAGTAACCAGGTTCAGCTATCCTGCTTTCCCTCAAGAAGCGCCACCCTCCCTCCTTCGTTCTTCGTCCATTTCTCTCCTTTTTTCCTCGATGCGCCGTTTATCGTTGAAGCACGGTGTCCAGCTTTCAGCTTTCCTCGCTCTCCCGGACGAAATCCTCGATGAAATCGTCTCAGAGCTCGACCAACATCGGGACCTCGTTTCGTTCGCACTCACCTCGAAAGCATGCGCGGCGACTGTCATTCCCCACCATACGCAGTACCGGATATTGCGCGTGCGGAACACGCTCCCCGACATGTGGGCCCACCTCGCACGGCGCTCAGATCTGGCGCGCAACGTGCGCGCGGTCCATATCTGCGAACGGCACAACTACGGGATGCCCGATCACTACCCGACCAGGCTCATTGACAAGGCCCTCGATAGAAACTTAGAGAACGCAGAAGAGAGCGTCAGGATACGCAACCTCTGCCTGGCGCTGGGCCATATGCAGCACCTGCGGGTGTTTAGCTGGTCGTGGAGGGACGTCCCAGGCTTCCAGCGCCCCACATCACACCCGGCCCACGAGAACGCCGTGCTGACCGCCGTCGCCCGGTTACCAAAGCTCGAAACCCTCAGCCTGAACGGCAGTTTCGCAATGCATGCTATACACTCTGCTCTTGACCCGAAGAGCCTGATGTACCCGGTATGTGGCCTCTAGTGATAGCAATCCAGCCTCGCAATAATCGTCCACGATAGGTCTGGGGAGTCAGCAACTTACAATCTTTGACCCTCTCTGGTGATACGTGGTCAAAGATAGGCAATTCGAAGCATCTTGTCCATCTTTTGTCCCGGTCGCCGAACTTGGAGGTATGTCGTCCAAAATAACTGTGCCGACTTACTAACTCCGCCGTGGACAGTATTTGGAAGTGCCTATGGAGTTTGTGCATCTAGCGGATTGTACACTCCCGAAACTCAAGAAACTGAAGCTCCTGATGCAAGCTGGGGCGAGTATGGCAATAGATCACTCTCGCGCTCGTTTCCTGCAGAACCACCCCTTGATCGAGGAGCTCAATTGGTCGCCCATTGGGAACCCGTGTATATCCCCGGACACCCTGCCCAACCTGAAGACTCTCGTTTCGAATCGGCAGTTCATCATCGCGCTCAATGATCCAGGCTTCGGGTCGACCACGAGCCCCAATCCCAGCTTGTCTTTGCTGACACCTCCCTCGACGCCCATCAGCTTGAGCAGTCCGCCCTCTGCGCCAACACCAACACCAACACCAACACCGTCTGACCCAGACCCTGCATCTCTTCCACCACTTCCCCCGACGATTACCCGTCCGATTGAATCCCTGGACGTTACAGGACTGGACGCTCAAACGCTGTTGGAGCTCAAGTGCATCGACCACTCCTGTCTTCGCAAACTCAAGCTTCATACCTTCGGCGACATCTCCACTCTGCACGAACTTGCAGAGACTTTCCCGAACATTGAGTGGCTGTGGTTACCCCCTCTTCATCTGCCATCGGATGCTTCCTATCCAGTCTCGCTGTCAAGGGTGCGTAGTTTTTCGTAAATTGTCGATTTCCGTATCTAACGTTGATACCATCACTGTAGGAGCAATGGCTCGAAATTCTCCCCCGTTTCACCAATCTTCAAGTGTTCCGTGGTCCCGGCCTATGGTCGTCGGTCAAGAACGATAAGCAGGCGATGCATGAGCTTCTTATGGACCTCATCGCCCTCTGCCCGAACCTCCGCGAAGTCGATCACTGTGATTTCTACGAGAAGTTTGCTGCTTCCAAGCGTGTGCAGATCACCCGGCTAGAAGGCGAGGATGGACATCAACATGTCAACTATCAGGTGGCGAAGCCTGGTTTAAGGTGAATTCGTCGAGGAAGTCAGGTTCGTGATTGGTTCTAACTGCTCTCGGACGATTCAGGTATCCGTTCGATGTCATGGACGGCGCCTTCGCTTGAAATAGAGGAACTATGCTGCCTTCAACAAACGACCTTGCAACTCCGACTACGCTCTTGGACGACATAACGATTTTATGATCAACATACTGCACTGCCCTCCTGTCAATCACCGACCCCGCGACCACAGCCTCCCTATCCTCCTACCTACCTTAGCCCACCAGGAGTGGCCGCTGTCATCACTACAGCTAATGTGTACCTCTGCTACTAACCACATGCTACTTGACATCATTCGCTCTTCACTTACACCAATGGAGGACGCGCGCAACGCATCATAATCATGCACATTGTTGATGCGCAACCCCCTTCTACCCGCCTATCATCGTGAATCCTATCCCGACACTCCTTGGACCTTGAAATCGAGATTCGACCTCGCTCGCTCTATACAAATGAGGGACCTGTACATGACTGTACTGTACGACCGTACGACTGTTCGCTTAGCTTTCTTCCTGTATCCTGCTTTTCGCTTTCGAGTTTGCTTCCCTGATACGTGCCGCGCCGTTGTTTGTAACATCTCTGTATCTCCAGCCGTTTCCATTGTCAGCTATTTTTGGCTGGCTCGTGTTCTCTGCTGGCTACAAGGTTACATACCTAGTACGGATTAATGCGACACAGAATTTCACCCCGATTTTTGGTGACCTTTTCCATTGTTCGAAACTTTTGGATACAAGCTCCCACCTTGTCCGCCCACACCTTCGACCTCCGCTGGGTCTAGGCTCGTCGGTCTTTCCGTTAGTGGAAGAACATCTCTAAACGAACATGCCGCCTTTCAGACCTGAGGCCTGAGTTCTACAACATTCTGGTTCGCTCACTTGCAGCCTATCGGCGAGCTCAAGGGTTGGAACCGAGAACCGACAAACTTGCCCGACGCGTTGATCAGAGACGATTTAGGTCACAAATTGATGAGCGCTAAGTACCTAAAAAGTCAGCGCTTAGCATTCATATCTATGATTTCTGTGCAATCAGCGGGCTGTCATCATCATCTGACAGACGGACGCCGACGACGATACGGTTTGCCATAGGTTGCTCATGTATGCACCCGTCTTTCAGAGGCGTCGGTCCCTTAATGATCGACAAACGACTGACAGAGAACGTCTAGATGTACGCGCGACTACAGCGGATGCGAATGTACAGTACCCTTCTTTGAATCCATTCATTTAGTCGCAACCCTGCAGGCTCCCCGCCGTCTGCTGTTTTCCGGTGAGTTGCCACCCCCGATTCCGATTCTGATCCACAATCGAGTTGTCTGACAGATTCGACTTTTGAGGTTGGAAATTTCGGAAATTAATTTTGCGAGAGATGTCGACGCCGTCGGCTTGAGGGTGACGCATGCCATGGTGATTCCGGAGATGGAGGGAAGGGTGGGAGTGATTGGCGCTGGTTTATTCTGGGAAGGATCCAGGCCACCCAGTTCGGCCTAACGTAATGTGGGTCCCCATGCTATCACCTTTATGGCCCACAGTGGACGTCTTGCAGTGAAGCTGGCTATTTATCGTGTCCTATGACCACCAATCAATTCGAGCTTCCGGTCGATAATCATTCTGGATACGAAAATGCCACAACAGTTTTGACAGATCTCTCGATGCTGGCAACACTCGCTCGCGCTTACCTTTCCGACCCCACAATGGAGCGAATTTACTCCGCCTTCGGTCAACTCGGCTTTGTGCCGGGATGGAATCGGATCGATAAACCGCCGCTCGCAGTGTATGTCACCAGAAAGGGCAGTCGATGCTGACCTCAATCCACACGACTTTAGCACCCTGGTTCCTCACAGGTACAACTGTCTTCGCCGATGTTTATTTGATTTATGTAAATAGACTGGTTTCATATAAGCATCGACCGAATAATTTCATGACTGGTCCTTCTCCCCATCATTTGAGACGGCAACGGCTTTCAATCACAAACTATGGATGCTCAAGTTCTTGATTCGTGGATCTTAGCTGGTCGAAAGAAGGGAAATATTGTAGCGCCATCATTTTTATGTCTGCAGATACCTCTTTTCTGGCTCACCGCAGAACATCGTTTGCAGAGTCCGAGTCGGAGCAATTCCTCTCTCTACAAGTTACCTGTTCGGATAAATAAGCAATACGAAGCAATTACTATGCTACCACATGCCATCAGCTATTATAGCTTGCCAATCAACTTTGCGATCCTGTTTGGCCCTTTGTCATCTGGTTTTACAACGTCCTATTGGTCTGCGCCGAAAATAGACACGAGCTCTCTGGGATGACAGATGAGGTTATAAACTATTTAGCGATACATACAGAGCGGCTAACGAGACTCTTGGATATTTTTAGTCGCATTCTCCGAGCATATGCTCGCGCTTTTGAGAACGTGGTAGACGTCCAAGAGAAAGATCAGAATTTGCCTCTCTGCTTTTTTTTGACCTGCCCAGACGTTTGGGATCTCGCCTCTCGGTTATCGGAGCCAAAAATAGAGACTCCTTCCAAATAGAGCTTAAGGGTTGCCTGTTTTGGTCAACGGCCAAGACCGGCCCGGATCAACACAAATGTTAGTGGATGCCCTGATATTGCAATTCCTGGATAACTTGATGTCCACTTCTCCTAAAGGATTGAAGCTGCAGAAGAACGTTGTCTTCGGAGGTCTCCTGTAGGTCACAGATCATGACTTTGGGGATACCTCGCAAGCACCAAGTCCCGCCAGTGTGTATATCGCCTTTGACCATTTACAGTGCCTGGAAATGAATCGTTTGTATCAATTCCTCACTGACAAAAACTATAGAAGGAAGAAAAATTCTACTGTCCTACTGGCAAAACAAAGTCAAGGAGGCTCATCAACGCAGCCTTGTCTGTTCCTACTGAACGGAAAACTGAGCCCTCATACCAGCTCCGTTGACGATGGCCATGAGCAACTTGATCGTCATCAAGTCTTACCTTGGGAAACCGCTCAGCCAGTAGCTCAAGGGCGGCGGGCTTGGTCAGGAGGAGTGCAGCTTGGCTGGGTATCTCATCCTTCTTCTCCTTCAACATCTCAGAGAGACGTTGGCGTCGTTCCTCGAGAGTGGATGAAGGACCAAGAACCTCCCGGAAGGACAACGAGGTGAAGTGTTGTTCATTAGTCAGCCCAAGGTGCACAGCAAGTGAGGATTGGGCGCGGGCAAGTAAGTTTCTGCGTTTAATTCGATCAAGTCCGGCCTCGTCCTGGATTGCGGTGAGTATCTTATTTGAAGGAAAGAAGAGAAGAGAGAGAAGCACCCCGACTAAAAGGAAATCTGTCGTCGCCTCAATATCGTCAGCAAGGCTTTCAATGCGTCGTTGCATGGCCTCGTGCTTCTGTTTCCGCTCCAGTTCTCTATCGTTGGCATTCTGTTCGAGCCGCTTGACCTTGTGCTCCAGTTCCTGTAGATTCATTTCCAGCTTGCGGAACTGGTTCTTGGCGTCCGTCTGGTCTGTCTTCCTCTGCGCTTCAGCCGTCTCCGCGTCCTTCTTCCTCTGCGCTTCAGCCGTCTCCGCATCCTTCTTCCTCTGCGCTTCAGTCTCCTCTAACCTTGACTGGAATTTCTCGAGCATGCCAAATATGTCATCGTGGCTTGATTGTGGGGCCGGCAACGAGGCGGAGGGATGCACAGGGGGGGCAACAGGAGCAGGATGATGCGGCAACTTCGATGTGTCTAAAACAACACAGATGTATATCAACTGTCTAAGTACGGGGAAATAAGGGTATTAGACTTACTTTGTGCAGCTTCAGGTTGACGACTCTCCTTCTCTGCTTCGAGTGCGCGGACGCGAGCCATCAGAGCGGGTGTGTTAAGGTCCACTACAACGTAGGCAGTTAAGACTGTCGTCGGTGGTGAAGTCACAGAATCTTGTTTGAGGTCCTACTGGAGAAGATTTAGGGCTAAATAGCTGAGATCCAAGGTTTATACTTACCAGTGGGCTCGAAGTCAATAATCCGAGAAGGCTGGATGAAGGATTGTGGTTCGGTTCCGAGGATGCGGCAAAGGTGGGCGTTTGCTTGAAATGCGATGCTGTTCCGAATCACGTCGGTTGACCTCCTACGTGGGAGAGTTATATTGATGGTGGTCTGGGATGACTCGAACGATGAGTTCAATGTGCTCTTCCGTGTTTTCTGCCATCAACGAAGTGAAGAAAGAAGAAGATGCACCATCATTTCATTACCTCTGACTGCCAACTATCTGGAATCATCGATACAACGATGTCAGATGGAACGGATTAAGATTACATAAGTATCTACATAAGATAACTGATTAGTTAACAAGTTCAGTATATAGGGACGTAGGAAGATTGCAGAGTAGTCAGTCTTGAATACACCGTTTGAGGCTCTCGTGTGCCGGGATTCGCATATTTTTAACATCGACACTTGACACTACTCTACTCGAGTACAACCACTCTAACCCACCCTCCATCGTCATCACCATCATCGGATAGGCTCTTGCATATGTATTTGGCGGACGGGCGACGTCTCTCTTGTATATGGCAACTGGCAACGGCGACCTCTTGAAGTGCCTTGGTGAGATCAAGGCAAAGGGTTGATTATGCGAAGGACTTGTACTTTCCCGTGAGTGTGATGGCCTTCTGTTCCTCGAGGATGCTCGACAGCAAAAAATTGGGGGCCTAATAACATGCGTAAAACCTGAGGATAGTGAGAATGAAGTTGCAGTGATGAAAAATACTGCACGGCTCGTGGTCATCGATACTGGCTGGGGCCATATAGATAAGTTCAATAATCACACATTTAGCATCGAGGTAGTTCATTTGACGGGTGTCCTCAGCCGGCGGAGGGGCAAACAAGGCAGACGACGGTTCATTGTAGCAGAGATCACAAAGTTCTTCGCCGAATAATCGACGTTGAAGAAAGTCATGAGAGTCAAGCAAATTATGTTCAGACTGGAATGATTTTTTGACAACACGTAGGGCATACCCAAGCAGATCATTGACTAACCGGCACCTACAGCTTGCTTTCGCGAAATCGGACGTCGACCCTTCGCCACTACAGTCGCAATTCCCATCAGGACTTCGAAAATACTTTGCCTCTAGAGGAACTACCACTTACCCAAGGGAACCATGGGGAAATGTCCTTCGCCAACGTCGCACTGAACTTCGGCAGCCTCCTCTCCTTAAACGCAAGCGCGCCTTCCGAACCATCCGGAGAGGCCGCGAGGAGTCGCATCGCACGCGAATCATGGATATGGTTCTCCTCGATCGAGTCGCCCGAGTGCTGCAGTAACCCCTTGGCGTAGGCAATGGCAAGCTGGGACGTGTTCGCTGCGAGGTCCTGGGCAAGGGCCTTGGCAGCGGGGTAGACAGCCTCGCGGGTGGACAGGACCTCATAGTAGAGGTCGCGGATGAGTGGCGAGGTGGGAGAGACGGTCGCTCCGGTGAGGATGAGTGCGTTGGCGCGTGAGGTGCCGAGGAGGCGGGGAAGGAGGTATGAAGAGGTGGCTGTGGTTAGTCAGTGGTTGTCACTATGAGCTCGTGGTGGCAAAACGCGTACCTTCGGGAACGATGCCGCGTCGTACGAATGGGAACGCGAGCTTCGCCCCTTCCCAAGCGAAACGGATGTCGAATGGCAACTGCATGGCAGTCATACCAACTCCGACCTTGCGAGAGAGGGAAACATCAGGGGATGCAATTAGACGTCGCAGGATTTCGGCTCACAGCATGCCCGTTTACTGCAGCGATTGTGATTTTACGGTTGTTGTAGACGGCCATTGACAGTTGTCCTCCCATGTCGCGATGGGCTGAAACGGTCGTCAGCTATAGACCATAATCCGACAGCGTTCGGCGTACCATGTTCGCCCTCTTTCTCTTCCTCCGGCTTCCACAGACTACCCCACCCACCCGAAATGTCAACCTAGGAGGGGCGACCCATCGGCCCAAAAATGAGTAATTCTAGAAGTGAACCACGTACGCCAGAGCAGTACGCTGGCGCTGTAGGTTCAGCAGTGAGGATAACGACACGAACGCGGTCGTCCTTGTCGGAGAGCTGGAAGACGCGAACCAGGTCGGTCCAAAGGGTTTTCGTCAACGTGTTCCTCCTACAAACGAGCGCGAGTTCAGTAGACATCGTCGAACTGCGGCCGCTTCGACATACTTCTTGGCATTGTTGATGAGGATGGTGAGGATGGACCCCTCTAGGGTGACGATGATGTCCGTGTAGCCTTGTTTTGAATAGTCTGGAGAGGTCATGGTTGAAACGTGTGTCGGGGGGCGCAGATGGGACGTGTGCAAGTTCAAGTAATCTTTATGTTCTAACCGCCGGCTCGTCTTTGTGGTGAACCGGTGACGGGTATCATTTCGTTGCCACTGCAATGGCTAGACCATCAGGACCTCGAGGGTGAAACTGACGGCAGCAAACTGACCGTCGACGACTGCTTATATTCGTTTCGATGACTGAAGCCAGCGGCGTGTACTTCAGTTTGAACATGCACCTCGCAAGAACTTCAGGGGACGCGACGCGCGTCGCGCGAGTATAAACGCGAAAGCTTGTGTCATTGAGTCAGTGTCAAACCGTGAACTGCCCGCGAACGTGATTCTCGCGTCGTGGTGGCATTACTGTGTCCGGCCCGGTAACGGGTCACTCTGGCGCATTTTCGCTCTCCTGGACGCAATTCTCAAGTAAACCTCTCTGAACTTTTTTTCTCGTGTGTTCATACCTCCTGAAAATTAGTAGGGAGCATGTATATTACCACACATTGAGCATATAAAATGTAATGAATATTCTCCGATGCTGAGTCTAAAATCAGTAAATCCAAGGTAACGGGTCAGCACCTATTTTTCCAAGAGGTAATTGCCTGATGAGCCCCAGATCCCACAATTCAGGAAGAGGACATTCTATTGTACAGGACTGGTGAAAATCTTGGAAGGAGAAACAGATTTCTTGAAATAAACGAGGGCCAAAAGATGTGTCAAATATGCAACTATGGGTGAAATTTGCACTATTTAGGGAATGTATGCAATCTAAAACCTTCCTCACAGTCTAAAAAGCTTACAGAAACATGATAGTAGACTAGGAGAGGCTTCCTATACATTTATACAGCTACAGGGCTCCTTTTGAGACCAGGATGTCCCTATCCAGTAACACTTGCAGTTGTAGTGTTCTCATTTTGGCCGGTTGTGAGCAATTTTTTGATATCAAATGGCATTTCAATGCCCATAAATTTTGTTTTTTATCATAGCTATTTATATGACCTCCATACAGCAAAAAGAAATGAAGAGAAAGCTCCTGTCGTCGTCGAGAAATCGGCATTTGACCCGTTTCGCGGTGTGACCCGTTACCGGGCCGGATACAGTACTAAGCGCACAGCCACTGAAATGAGCGCCCAACTTTGGAGACCAGCCCACAGGACCCGGGAAGCTCCTGACAGGTCTTGGGCGAAATTTGCGGATTTGAGGCCGAAAAATGGCCAAATCCTTGTCCAAAAATTGCGGATTCGAGGGACAAAAAGAAAAATCCCTGTCCAAATTTGCGGATTTTAGGACCCTGGGTTGGCCTGAAGCGGGTGCTGCGATATCGAAGTTTTCTTTTTCTGCTTGTGAGTTTTGGTGGTCCATCGCCGTTTTATCCCCCAAAAATGCCTCATAGGGTGAAGAGAACAGGGAAATCACCAGAGCGGCGCCTGCGGCCCGAAATTTCCTTTTTTTGGGTCAGAAGCCTTGTCCAAATTTGCGGATTCAAGGCGGTCTGGGGGACAAGACCTAGTAGGAGCTTCCCGGATCCTCAGCCCACGCACAAGTGCTGAGTCGCTGGAGTCACTGTTTATTGTCGGGCGCTTATTTAGGGATGAAGGAAGAATTACTGCCACAATCTGGACTCACGATGAACAACTCAACTTTTTTTTTTGCAGAAATTAATTCGATTGAGCGCGTTCAATGCAACGAATGAAGAGTTGGTCGATTGACTTAGCCTCCTTGTTGATTAAAATTCGGCTGCCATCCTGGCGGCTCTTCGGCGTCTGGAATTTCCGACGGGCTGTCTTGGGGAAATCGAGGTTATTCATTTGAAGCTCTCATAAACGATTCCATGATACGGCCAAACGTACTTGCCAATGGACTAATAGAAAATCTTAGGGCTTCGGACGGATTCGAAAGATAGGAAGAGATTCGATTTTTTCTTTCTTTTAGATGTACATAGCAGACTACGAAACCAGCCTTCACTGTGCCTAAGCGGTGGCACCTTCCTTGAGCTTGACGACATACTGCGAAAGACATCAATATCAAAATTACCTCAAAGAAAAGGTGCAAAACGACTTACCGCGCCACGCTCAATGGTGTTAATGATGATAAACCCGCTAGGGAGGTAAGGGTAACTCGACCATGTACCAACGAACTGGAGCGAGCCATTCGACGGCTGGTTGTCGTCTTCGGGGTAGATATCAAAGAATCCAATCTCATTCACGCCACTTCCTGTCGGGTCGGAAGGAATCGACGAGATGTCGAGGACACGTAACCCGTTTCCGTAGTTCGACTGGTAAGCTTTGCCTTCGTGAACATACTGGTTGTGGTCGACGGTTCTATCTACGGACTTGTAGAATCCGGTTTGCTGGGGGTTTTCGAGGTCGGAGATGTCCCAGATGTAGGTCACCGCGTGGCCATCTGCAGCGGGCCCGACGGCGTTACGCTCATCGAGCTCGTCGTCGAGAATGAGGAAGCGCTGGTCCTCGGTGTCGAGCACCCAGCTGAGAGATAGCATTAGTGGCGAGATTACTGGTGGGAGATCTGACGCACGTACCCTTGGTGAGTATAGGCGGCTCCTTCGTAGCTCGTCTGGGAAATAACTTGGGCATTCGCCTTGTCGGTGACGTCTGAAACTCAATGAGCGAAAGGAGAGACCACGAAGTAAGAAAGGCGTACTGTAGATAACGAGTCTGTCTTCGTTGTAGCCATAGCAGATGTCGTTTCCAAGGTATCTCACATCTGGTCCCTTGTAGAGAAGGCATTGGGCGCTGTTTAGAAAATGCATGAGCATTGAGATAATGTATCCCCGTGCGTAGTCAGATTTAATACGCACTCGTGAACGTAGCCAGCGTCGGGTTGGAATCCAGCCAGTGTGGGGTTCGTAACATTGCTGATGTCGATGAAAACGAGACCGCTCCTGAACTCGCTGGTCCTTGGTTGACTGCCAACGGCAACAATGTATCCAAGGTCCCAGTTGATGACAATGTTGTGAGTGCGACCGATAGGAAGGCCCGTCCATAGCGCCGTGAGGTCGGTAGCAGGGTCGAAGGTCTTGGGCTTCTCCTCGGGGGTAATGTCGAGGACCTTGCGCAAATCGAAGATCTGAACGTGGTGGTTCACCGCCTCTGAACCAACCACGAGGTAGTTGTCGAGCACACGCAACTCTACATTGCATGTAAGTATGAGATGAGGAGGCTTTTCGGACATGAGAATTCGACGAACCTCTCCAAATGGCGTTGGCGGCTGCGGGCGTTTTTGGCAAGCGACCGAAGTAGTCGAGCTTACCGTCACTGGTGACCTCGGCGATGGCGGCGCCATCTGCCTGCGCGATGATGATGAATTCACGGCCCTCGTAAACCCATCCCCAGGAGCTGCTCCCTTGTCCGACGGTGCTGCCTAGCTCTGCGTGGGTGTAGAAGCTATAGAGATCGATGTTGTTACAACGGAACTCCCCAGCGAAGCCTACAACATATCGTTCATTAGACTGCTTGCGCAAAGAGGAAGACGGGAAACATACCATCGACACAGGGTGTGAAATCCTCGATGGCGCTGAATCGAGCAGAGTCGAAGGCACCGCTTGCTGCCTGTTCATCCCAGAACTGGTGCTTCGCGTCCATGATCCCGTTGTGAACAGCACCGCTGATGTACGCTGCCTTTCGTGCGGGGTTCCTGATTTCCGTGGAAAGAGCAATTAAGGCGAGAGAGGCGAGGAGGACGGCGACGGAGATGAAACGCCCCATTTTCGTGAGATAGTCTGCAGAGTAATGTGGGGAGACCCTAGGATAACTAGCCCTATGAGACCAGGCTGCTATTTAACAGAGCGCGAAAACGAGGCATATTTGCTCAGCGGAGGTGACGGGATCGTCGAATCTCGTTGCATAAAATGGCGCAAACGGTTGGGCCTTGTGTCGCTTCTGCTTCCAAGTTCTTTAAGGTGTCAAGTACATGTGGCCATGGCTGGGCAGTCGACACGATCCGAGCAGCCCGGGTAGGAAAGATAAGCCTCATGATTCAATACAAGCTGGAAGAAGATCATTCACTCGGGACGAAGAGCGCAAGGTAGATCTGAGCGGAATGGTATCAGCCTATACCCACTTTACGAACAGACATGTATACCAATTCTTTTCAGCGAATAATGCGCCGCTGAATTTAAAAGCGGAGAATACTGAAAGCCGATAACGATGACTGCGAACGACATGGTCGTCTGAGCCAAGATGATGCTTGAGCGTGATGTCAGGTAGGTACTCACCTGGAAGCATAATGCGACATGCGTCGACTGCCTGATGAAGATTCCGGCTGAAATGGCGTGACTTCCCATGACCTTTCGGCAACTCTGTACCGAGTGTTCTTATAGATCCCTACAATTGGAAGAACCGCAGAAGGTGCAAAGTACCCAGCGACCCCAAGTCTTGATCTCGACAGTTCTGTTGCAGTTCTGCGGCACTGCTAATGGTTCGTGCAGTAGATTTGAGTGCCGTACCTCAAGCTCAGTCGGCGCCGGTGCCGCTAGACGTGAATGGTAAGACGTATGTTAGTTTGGTTCCGCAGCACAAAGCGCCCGTGGGTGACAAGTTCCTGAACGGGAAGTCCGGGCCGATAGGTGCCGGCGATGATGCTCTCGTGTCGGCAACACAGTTCAACCCAACTTGAACGTTGAACACTCAATTAGACACCCACGCCTTAGTACTCGTCCCCCTACTTCTACTACATCTTATTTCAGTAAGGGAAGTTTCCAGCAGCTTCGAACCTTCAAGCCGACTCATCCCATCCCGTATCTTCTTGTTTTCTTCCCAGGGAAAATACAATTACTAGGTCTCGTCGCGGGAGCTACCCAATAACTCTAATTGAGACGATTATCATTCACTATCGGCAGAAGTCGTCATAGCCTGTCAACGGCGCACCTCACCTTTCTAATTCATCGTCCGAGACAGTCGTGCGTGGCAATCTGGCTGACCGGCATTGGTGCCGGTGCTTTCAACGCGTCGTGATCGGCAAGCTAAAACACACTGAACGGAGGGGCATCGGGGAATATAAAAGACATGCAGCCCACTTTTCGCTCCCCCGTCTTCAACCCAAACTCACGCATCCCTCATGAAACTCGGTCCAATCCAGTTTATTAGCGACCAACTCAAGCGCGTGCCTCCTGTCGTCTATGATGACCTAGGTGGAAAGCATGTCGTCGTGGTTGGCGCAAACGTTGGCCTCGGCTTCGAGGCAGCAAAGCATTTCGCGCGCATGAACCCGGCGAAGCTCGTTCTTGCGTGTAGAAGCCAGGAGAAGGGCGAGGCTGCACTCCGAAGTCCGTACCTTTCCTACCGTCTCATTGATAATAGCACTGAAGTCCCCTTTTTCTAGAGTTGAGAGAAGAAACTGGCTCTAAGGTGGCCGAACTGTGGCTGATCGACCTCGCAGACTTCGCGTCTGTTAAAGCATTTGTCGCACGCTACGAGCAAGAAGGCGGAAGGCTCGATCTCCTCGTCGAAAACGCCGCTATCGCTCCTGTCTCGGGACCAAAGGTGCAAATGACGGTAGATGGGTGGGAGCCAGCGTACGTATCGCAGTCTTTATCACCTTCTCGATATTTTATTGCCTGATTCCTGACTTTTCCATCTACAGATTCCAGACGAACAACCTGTCGACTTCGCTTCTGGGTCTTCTTTTATTGCCTAGGATGCTAGAGACTGCGAAGGAGCACAACACCCTTCCACGTCTCGTCGTCGTGTCGAGCGACGTGCACTATTGGTCCCAGATGGGCTCGAACCGGACGCTGTTGGACTCGGAGAATCCGTTGCAGACCTTTGGAAGTGAGGCTTACTGCACACAGAGGTGCGCTTTTCCCGCCTTCCTCCTCTGGCGCCACCTTCTAACACTGCGTTAATTTCATTTAGTGTCATTGGCGCCCGCTATCTTGATACCAAACGTTCGTCAGCTCTTCTCCAGAAACTCGAATGTCGGGACTAATATCACTTCAGTTTTGAATGTTCTCTTCACCCGCGCCCTCGCCGACCGATTACACAACAAACCGATCATCGTCGACACCGTGAATCCGGGGTACTGCTACTCAGAACTTCGGAGAGGCTTCACCGGGTTCATGGCACTTTTCGACTGGCTTATGGAACTCGCGCTTGCTCGAACGACGGAGGAAGGTGCTCGTCAGCTAGTCTGGGCAGCCGTTGGTGCGAAGGGAGAAGAAGATAGCATGAGAGGGGCGTACATCTCTCTAGCTGCTGTCTCTGAGGCCAGCGATTATGTGATTAGCAAACAGGGGCGCGAGGACCAGAATAAGCTATGGGTACGTTTCCTTCCTCTTTTCCGTTGCAATACAAGACGCTGACGGTGAATTGGACTTGATTCTGTAGGACAACTTGATCGACATCTTGGTAAAAGTTGACCCACGAGTTCGAGACATTGTTGAGAATGATCTCGCGCCGTTGAACGTTCGTACTTACTAGTGTACCGTGGGATGGGAATGGCACTTGGAAAGTGGCAGAGGTCACGGTTCCTGTTTTACTGTGAGTATCAAATATCCGCTTGAGTCTTCGCTTGTCGTCGGGCGCTTGTTTAGATTGTGGTGATACGAAGGAAGAACGCTGAAGATCTTAAGACATCCCCATCACAGGCTGAACTTCGAGTGAGCGAGTCACAACCGTCCGAAGAGTTTTAGTACAGGACTTCCTCCTCGATTCATCTTCCATCCCGCCGGCAGTTTTCGTCATCTCTGGATTCGGCGTCTGAATTCTACGATGGGCTGTCCTCGGGGGGAAATCACCGAGGTTATCTCAGATATTATCTCATCCTGGAAAGCTCTCCTACAGCGAAAACCATTCCGAGATGTGTCCGAACGTGCCTACCTATGAATTAATGGAAACCTTGGTGTCTCGGATTGAACATGTTTCGAAAGATAAAACAAGATACGATTTCTTTCTTTTATTTAGCGTACAGTGGAACAAGCCCTCACGCCTAAGCAGTAGCACCCTCCTTGAGCTTGACGATGAACTTTAAAAGGCGGTCAGTGTCGAAATTACCTCAAGAACAGGGTGTAAAAAGACTTACTGCGCCGCGCTCAATGGTGTTGATAAGGATATAGCCGCTGGGCAAGTAAGGGTAGCTTGACCAGGTCCCGACGAACTGGAGCGAGCCATTCGAAGGTCGGTTATCATCTTCGGGGTAGATATCGAAGAATCCAATCTCCTTCACTCCACTTCCTGTCGGGTCGGAAGGAATCGACGACAGATCGAGGATGCGCAATCCGTTTCCGTAGTTCGACTGGTAAGCCTTGCCGTTCGCAACGAACTGGTTGTGGTCGATCGTGATGTCCTTGGACTTGTAGTATCCGGTCTGCTTGGGGTTTTGGAGGTCGGAGACATCCCAGATATAGGTCACCGCATGGCCGTCTGCGGCTGGGCCAACGGCGTCGACTTCGTCGTACTCGTCATCGAGAATGAGGAAGCGCTGGTCGTTAGGGTCGAGCAGCCAGCTAAGAGATATGTCGTCAGTGTCAGCGTTGTGACTGGCAGATCCTGTGCACATACCCTTGGTGAGTATAGGCGGCTCCTTCGTAGCTCGTCTCCGAAATGACTTTAGCATTCGCCTTGTCGGTGACGTCTGAAATTTGATAAGCGAATGGAGAGAACCCGAAGCAGGAAGAACGTACTATAGATTACGAGCCTGTCTTCGTTGTAGCCATAGCAGATGTCGTTTCCGAGGTATCTTACGTCTGGTCCCTTGTATAGAAGGCATTGGGCGCTATATAGGAAGTGCATGAGATACGGGTGTATGCATAGTTCCTGCCAGAGTATACGTACTCGTGAACATAGCCAGCGCTAGCCTGGTATCCAGCCAGCGTGGGGTTTGTAACGTTCTTAATGTCGATGAAAACGAGACCGCTCCTAAACTGGCTGGTCCTTGGTTGGCTGCCGACGGAGACGATGTAGCCGAGGTCCCAGTTGATGACGATGTTATGAGTGCGACCGACTGGAAGGCCCCTCCACAGCGCCGTGAGCTCGGTGGCAGGATTGAAGGTCTTGGGTTTCTGCGCGGGGGTGATGGCAAGGACCTTGCGCAAATCGAAGATTTGGACATGGTGGTTCACTGCCTCGGAACCAACCACGAGATAGTTGTCGAGCACGCGCAACTCTACAATGTATCTCTGAGGTGAGAACGAGGGTCTTTCGGACATGAGAATTCGACGGACCTCTCCAAATGGCGTTTGCTGTTCCGGGCGTTTTGGGAAGGCGACCAAGGTAGTCGAGCTTACCGTCCTTGGTGACCTCGGCGATGGCGGCGCCATCTGCCTGCGCGATGATGACGAATTCACGGCCCTCGTAAACCCATCCCCAGGAGCTGCTCCCTTGTCCGACAGTGCTACCTAGCTCTGCGTGGCTGTAGAAGCTATAGAGGTCGACATTGTTGCAACGGTACTGCGCAGCGATGCCTGCAGTGATACATCGTGAGGATTGCGTAGTGTAAACAAGAAGACGGGAAACATACCGTTCACGCAGGGTGTAAACTCCGTTATGGCGCTGAATCGAGCAGAGTCAAAGGCTCCCTGCGCTGCCTGTTCGTCCCAGAACTTGTGTTTTCGGTCCATGATCCCATTGTGAACAGCGCCGCTAGTGTACGCTGCCTTTCGTGCGGGGTTCCTGATTTCCTTGGAAAGAGCCTGGAAGGCGAGAGAGGCGAGTAGCACGGCGACAGAGATGAAACGGCCCATTTTCGTGAGGTGGTCCGCAGGGGAATGGGGGGGGGATCCTAGGGTAACCTCATGAAACCATGCGGATATTTAACATAACGCGAAAACGAGGCATATTTGCTCAACGGAGTGACGGGATCGTCCAATCTTGTCGCATAAAATGGCGCAAACGGTTGGAGCTTGTGTTGCTTCTGCTTCTAAGTTCTTGAGGTTGTCAACTACATGTGGTCCTGGCTGGGCGGTCAACACGCTCCGAGCAACCCGGGTAAGAGAGATAAGCCTTGTGTTTCTCCGTATGAGGCCGTTCAACAGGCAGGAAGGCAGCGTTCAGGCCGAAGTTTGCAAGGTAGAGCAGAAGCATATCTGCCTAACCCACGTCACAAAAAGGCAAGTAAACCACTCTTTAATCCACTGCGGAATTCAAAAGCGGAGAAGCGCCGGAAACTGATAACAAAGAGGGAGCGAAGACTGTGAGCGACATGGTCGACTGTGCCAAGAGTGATATTGCGCAGGTACTCACCTGAAAGTGTAAAGCAACATGCGTTGACTGCCTGATGAAGGCATCGGCACAAATGGCGCAACTTCACATGACCTCTCGGCAAAGTCAATGCAGTTCTTCCAATTGAAAGAACAACAGAAGGTGGCAGCCTCGACGCTATGGACTCAGTTGCTCCAAGTCTTAATTCTGACAGGTTCGTGCTGTAGTTTCGAGTGCCGTGCTTAAAATAAGGCCTGCCGAGGACGTATTCTATTGTCAAGATAATTCCAAAATATGTTTCTACCCCCTGCAGTCTTTGAATCAACCCGGCTTTTGTAACTACTGAATCAACCCAGAAATTGAACTACTGATGTAACTAAATATGAAGTACTGATCCAACCCTATACCAAACTACAAATCCAACCCAGGTTCTTGATGTACTGAAGCAACCCTGCTTTTCAAGTTCAATTCTAGCATTTTAAAAGTACTGATACAACCTTTTTTCAACTTGTGATCCAACCCTTATTTCAGAGTGTAACAAAGTACTGGATCAACCCCCATTATGATTAAGAATATGTACTGATCCAACCCTCATTATTCTGCTAGAAAAGTACTGACCCAACCCTCATTATCCTCTAAAAGAAAGTACTGATCCAACCCCCATTATTTTCTAAAAGAAAGTACTGACCCAACCCTCATTATCCTCTAAAAGAAAGTACTGATCCAACCCCCATTATTCTCTAAGAGAAAGTACTGATCCAACCCCCATTATCCTCATAAAAAGTACTGATCCAACCCTTATTATTCTCATAAAAAGTACTGATCCAACCCTGCTTTTTTCAATTTCCTAATTGGGATGTCTCTGATCAACTGCACACAGCTGTGATCTTGTGCTACCTTGATCCTCTACCACCACCATCTCTGGCCTTCAATATGGGTAGAACTAAGAAGAACCCAAAGAAGAGAGCAGTAAGTGTGATAATTTGATATCTTTTGTCTTAGATCTACATTAACCAATAACATAGCTTTCCACATCAATGTCTGAAGATGCCAGTCCACCTAAGATCAAAGCCAGTAATCAAGATGATGCTAAGAGCTCTAGACGTTCTAAGAAGGTTAGAAGTAGATTCCCTTCTTGATACATCATAGATCTAACTCATTTCCACTAGAAAATACACTATCAGGATAACGATTCTGACAACTTCCTTTCTGACAACAACATTAAAGCTAAGAAACCTGGTCCTCCTCAACAGGTATGGTTTATATCATTGATCCTTGAATCTTTCTCTGATAAATCCATATAGCCAACCCGCAAGAAGCCAGGCCGTCCATCAAAGAAGGGCCAGGCAATCAGAACTGATCCACTTCCTGATCAAGATACTGTCATGTCTTCCCAATTTCTTCAGCCTCTCACACCTCCCCAGAAGGCCAACAAGAAGGATCCAAATGCTAACGAGTACACTCCACGTACTGCGCAGGCTGTCCGGTTCAGCATGCAAATACCTATCTGGCAGATTGAAGTGTCTCATATACCAAAGAAACAGCCACATCACGGAACCACAGAGTCACCAGATATGAGGCCACTGAATAGGCTCACCCGGTTAGAGAAGGATGGATGGACATGTCTTGGAACAACACCTACAGCAAATGTGTACAGGCTGTTCCAGGATTTTGTGATTCTTTATGTTTTATATTATTATGATACTTTTACTGATTTTTTCTTGCTTTTTACAGGAGAATGACTACTCACCTCAGGAGTACAAGATCTCCAGTGGTCTCATCTCTATGCAGTTCTTTGGTCATCCTTGTGATCGGCCTAAGGACATACGTGCTCGCTCCTTTCTTCTTGAATAATTTCATCTCCAGCCTGAGAAGGGGATAGTGGGGTCA